AGTCCAATGATGGTATTGTTATATCTCAAAGGAAATATGCCATGGATATTTTGGAGGAAATTGGGTTGATGAATTCAAAGTCTGTTGATACGCCATAGATCCCAATACTAAACTTCTACCAAATCAGGGGGAGCTTATACCCGATCCCGAGCAAGTATAGAAGATTGGTTGAAAAATTGAATTATCTTACGATTACTCGTCCCGACATTTCCTTTGCGATCAGTGTGGTAAGCTAATTTCTTAATTCCCCATGTGAAGATCATTGAAATGCAGATCATTCATATCTTAAAGTATATTAAAGGATCTCTTGGAAAAATATTGTTATATGATTCTAATAATATATATAATTTATTTAACATTAAAAATAGTTATATTTTTATTCATTTTAGAATTTTAATTTTTTTAAGGTTATAAATTTAAATATAATTTTTTTAACTTTATAAATATAAATTATAAATAATAATTTTTTAATTTTAATTTGATATATATTTTTATTTGTAATTATTTAATATATATTTAAAAAATTAATAAATATTAATTAATTATTTAAAAAATTAATCGATTATAATTAATTATTTAGAAAATTAATTGATTGTTTGAAAAACTAATAGATTATAATTGAATAATCAAAAATTAATCGATTAATTTATTGAAATATATATTAAATAAAAAAAAAAGAAAAATGTATATACGTATATAATATTATAATATTTTATTTAAAATTTAAAGTTTTAAATTATAATTTTAAAAGGATTTATATATTTATTAGATTAATGTTGAAAATAGTAAAATAATATTTTTAAAATATATTATTAAATATTATATTTATATTTTATTTGTATGATTAATTTTTTTTAAATTTTTTGATTTATTTGATATTATAACATTTTTTTTAGAAATTAATAATAATTAAGAGGATAATAAAAATCTTTAAAAAATATATATATATATATATATATATATAAAAGATGAAATAATATTTTGATATAAAATTATATTTTTGAAATGTAATTTTTTTTTTATGTATGTTTTGTAATATTTTAGAATATATATATATATATATATATATATATATATATATAATTTATATAATTTATTTAACATTAAAAATAGTTATATTTTTATTAATTTTATAATTATAATTTTTTTAAGATTATAGTTTTAAATATAATTTTTTTAAAATTTATAATTATAATTTATATAATATATATAATTTATATATAATTATTTTTTAAATTTTAATTTGATGTATAATTTATTTATAATTATTTAATATATATTTAAAAAACTAATTGATTATTTGAAAAACTAATCAATTATAATCAATTATATAAAAAAAATCAATATTTAAAAAGTAATAGATCAATTGAAAAATTAATTAATTAGTTTTTTAAATAATCAATTAATTTTTTAAATATATATTGAGTAATATATATATATATATATATATATATATATATATAATATTATAATATTTTATTTAAAATTTATAGTTTTAAATTATAGTTTTAAAAGATTTATATATTTATTAGATTAATAATATATTTAAATTTATTGTTGAAAGTAGTAAAATAATATTTTAAAATATATTATTAAATTTTATATTTATATTTTATTTATATATTAAATTTTTAAAATTTTTTATTTATTTGATATTGTAATATATTTTTTTAGAAATTAATAATAAATTAAAAGGATAATAAAAATCTTAAAAATCATATATATATAAGATTAAATAATACTTTGATGTAAAATTATATTTTTGAAATGTTTTTTTTTTTTTTAATATTGTGGAAGTAGTCCTACATCATATTGGATAAGCAATGAAGTGAGTGATAGTAGTTATATAATGGGTTTAAAGTCCATGAGATTTTACCCCAGTCGAAGACACTTTAAACTTGTATTTGACTTTTCTTATACTCTTGTAGCAGGGTCAAGGGCATGAGAGAGTTGTCTATGTGTTTAAAAAATTTCTCATAGTGTTATTCTTTTATTATGATTAGTTAACAGTCGTGATTTTTTTTGTGTTGATTATTTTTTCTTATTTCTCTATTAGTAGGATAATTCTTGGAGTTAAATGATAATGTTCTTTATAACGTTTTTATAACGGTCGTGGTTTTTATTGTTTTGATTGTTTTTCTCTCATTTCTCTATTAATAGGGTAATTCTCGAGAATAAATAATAATGTTCTTTATCGCATTTTTTCCATCAAGTACATATGTCCCCCAAACTCGAGATAAGTGACATTGAAAATGTTGTGGGTTTTCTATAAAGCGTCCGATTTTCAGTGTGAAAGATGGAGAGCTCATACGTCGTCAGTTAAGTATCTCATTTTCAGTGTGGGAGGCGAAGAACTTATATGTCGTCGGTTAAGTATCTGATTTTCCTTGATGCAAGAATGGGATGTTAGAGAAAATGCAGGAATTTTCAAATATACGTTAACTTAGGAGGCGTATTTCAATGTTAGATTTGGGTCATTGATTCGAACGAGATCTAACGATTAGGATGGGAGATTCCTCTATTATTGTGCTCACGCCTATATAATGGACGGGACCATTTCTCCCATTTTACTAGTTCGTGTTTTTCTACTCCACCAATTATTTTGTTTTCTACACTTGCTTACTACCCTACTATCTTATCGGTTGCTATCTATGTTGCTCAGTGAGGATATTATGACTTACTTTTTCCTTTCTTGCTCCTCTAAGTCTAAGTCCAAAAAGTCGTTGTCATGAAAAGAAAATTTGTCGGTCGATCACTTTTATGAGAATAGTATGGAGAATACTTCTACTAATTTTTCAGCTACAATAAAAAATTCTAAATTTTATAATTTTTATATAAATTATTTTATTTAAAAAAAAAATTTTTCTCTTAAAGTAGTTGGAATAAATTCATCCAAAATCTTCCTCAATTTTTAATTTATTTTTTAATTAAAAATGTTATTTGGTCAGTCTTTATTATACAAAATGAAATATTTTTTTTATATCAGATTAAAAAACAACAACAGTAAGTATATATATATATATATATAATTTTTTTCTATGTTTTTCTATTAATTTATATTTCAGAAATAGTTTTTTGAATATAATTTTTTAAAACAATTATTATAATAAACTATATAATGATAAGATATTTTATAGCTTTCTTATATCTTACATATCCTTACAAAAATTTATATAATTATTTATATTTTATAAATAAATTATATATATATATATATATATTATATTTTTTATTATATAATACATATATGATATTTTATATTTAATTTTTTCAAATAAAAAATATTTTATCAAATAAATTATTAATTTTATTAAATTATTTAATATAATATTTAAATATTCCTTTTAAAAATAATTTGTGAATAATTATAATTTTAAAAATCTAAGAGACCTTGTGAAAGAAAAAAAAAACAATATATTATTAATGAATTATGAATCTCTTAATATATATTTTTCAACCACAAGTTCTTCATTCTAAACTTTTTTTAATAAATTTTTTTTTTCAAATTCGAAAAAACAATATAAGGACTATGCATTTAAAATCTTACTAGGATGTTGGTAGATAGATCTAAAATTGATTCGTGCATGTTCGGTAATAATAGAAAATGTTACGTTCATACTAAATAAACCCCTCTTACTCTTACCTGATAACTAAAATATATTTAATTTTTTTATTTTCAAAATGAGATGTTATAAGAGTTTAAAATAATATATATATATATATATATATATATATATATATATTTTATATATAATTTTATTTTATTAACCTGTTTTTAAATAGGATTTTTACTCAAAGTATAATAGAAAGTAATTCTCTTTTATCAAAATATATTCGGTTGGAGAGAAAAAGAAAGGTTGTTTACAAGATTTTGTTCTCATTTTCTATGTAAAAAAATGAAGATCCCAATATAGAGTTAAAATAAAAATAGAGATGTAAAAGTAGATAAAGTGTAATGCAAGAGAATTTGCAGAGAATGAATCAGAAGATTTCCAGTTCACAAATCTTTTTGTAGCACATTCTACAAAACATCAACTGATCAATTCGCATTACATTACGGTAAACAAGACCAATCAACAAATAAATTATATAAAGTAATACAAATTGAGTCACAGAAACCATCGTTTGTAGGTCATAAGAAAACCATAAATACCATGTCGAAATTCAGTTTAAAATGTTTTAAAAATAATTTAAAACTGCTTAAATAAAATTAATTTTTTAAAATAATCACAACTTACCAGCTGCTTACGTAAAATTAATTTGTTTGAAAGAATCATCACCTACCTATGGAATTTTTTTTAACGGACATTATTATTTTGTTAAATTTTTTTTTAACTTGACTCAAAGCTTATATATAAAATCTTCCAATAGGATAATAATAAATTTTAATTTAAGTTAGTAAAACCTTTATTTAAAAAAAATTATCAGATAAACATTTAATAGGCTCAGTCAATTAATGAGAATTTTCATGAACGGAATTTATTTGGTTTTAAATTATGAATAAGTGAGTTTAAGTTAAATAATTTTTTTTGTCATTTCAAATCATTCACATAATTATATATTGTAAAAGTTCACACTTGCAAACAGAATAAGTTCACACAAATATACGAACAGAATTACAACCGAATCATTCACACAAGTATATATGATAAAAGTTCACACAAATACACAAACAGAATAACAATCAATCATTCACGTAATTATATATTGTAAAAATTCACGTGTGTATTTTAATGGGATTGCGCGGCATGTTGCACAAGTTTTACTGGTTATCGAATTAGAAGAGAATCACACAATAGTAAAATTGCAAACAGTTGTGAAGGCCCCAACTCATTGGGTTACAACTTATATGGGCTCTGAGTTTGTACTAGGCCCATGAGCCCCATCTGATTTCTTCTACCATTTGTTTTCAACAACATAATCTAATTCAAAATTTTCAAAATACATTGTCTGTGACCAATCTCACGTGTTTTGTAGTGTGCATTATTGCCAAGTTATGTTCATCTTCTTGTGAGCCTTGATATGAAGTAGGAAGATTCATGAGCCTTCACAAGCATTGGACTTGGATTTTGTAGCATCAAGACAATGAGCAAAATATGTACATTAATATTAACTAATAATATGATGTATAAAACTTATAACACTCATGAAAATTGTAATCTTAAAAGATTTTAAAGAATGCAACTCGTTGTATTAGTCTTTCTTATATTTATTTTAAGATTTAGGCTCTACAAATTGTAAAGTGTTATTATTTTAATTTGTTATATAATTAATCATATTTTATTATTTTTTCATTTCATTTCCACTTTCAAAAATCATGTAATATTATTATTTTGATCGATCAAATGATTAAAAGATCGATAATGAAATTGTTTTTTTACCATTCAAACATGTAAAAACTTGAAAATATAAAAGTTTATTATCATTATATATTGAGGTCGAAAATAATAGACACAAATCACAACTATTCATATACATAAATTAACATTACTGTGAAATCCCAAGAACAAAAAAACGTAAAATAATATTTTAACACGTAATAAATAATATAATAAAAAAAATTGCATCATGACTTTATAAATAGATCATTAATAATTAATAAATAAAAAAGAATCTATATTAATAAAAGAGTCTCGATTTTTTTTACCAAAGTTATATAGAACTCATTTAAATAAACATGGTGATAATATTTTATGTATTGTGAACCGTGATTAAGGTGACATATTGGATGACAACGCTAATCTCTTTCTCTAAAAACTTAGAGATTAGAAGATATAATGTGTTGATGAAAAAAAAATACTATAAAAAATATCAACATCTTTTATTTTTTATAATTATTTTATTAATAGAAAAATAAGATATAACGTGAAAACTTTTAAACTAATCAAAAAATGATAGTTATGAAATAAAAAAAATATATTATATAATTTTTTTATAACATATAGAATACTCTCTTATGTCTTATGATCTCAAATACATTCACATCATCTAAATTAAAAATTTAAATTAAATTTCATTATATTATAAGAGTATAAGAAAAGTTAAATAAAACTTAAATTATTTTTTACTCGAAGTGTTAGAATATCATAAACTTTAAATATATTATATAACTACTACTATAACTTATTTAATGATTTTGTAAGTAATATGGAATTTTTCAAGATGTATTATTTTCATTAACTCAATAATCTCTATAATAATTAAAATAAACACATTCATTCTCATCTATATTACCTACACCACCAATCATTCATACTCCACCGTAAAGAGTATACTTATATGGAATTAAACCATTTTAAGATTTTCTTTTCCTTGCACACTTGCATCAATCCTAATCAATACCCATGTATAATCATCACACACCCTACATCAATATTAGTTAATATCTTAATGATCATTTAATATATTTGTTTTATATTTACAATTTTGTCCTCTCATCCTTTCATCTTATTTTTATCTTTTTATATTTATTTATTATTTATTAATAATATATTATTTGCCCCCAAAATCAAAGGTCAAAATGTGTCATTGCGACTAACAAAAACTCATCCTTTTTCATGTCAACGCCTGCACACCTACATCAATGCTATATCGCCTTGTATAATCCAGAGTGCATCAACACATCTTTTACTTGAGTTTGTCACAAGACAAAATTGATCATTCCATCAAATTTCTTTATCACCACTTGCAAATGACATTAGGATGATTCTTTAGCAACAAGAATTTTTTTTTTGTGTGTGAAATATCGGATTAAGTTGTAACCAAGGTTATCAAACTTGAGAATCTACGTACACTCATGAGACCTTTGCAAACTTGATTCGTAGACTCGTAAGAGTCTACTTATATAAAAAATAATTATATATCTTTTTTAATTTATCTAAAATATTTAATCTATATAATTACTATATGTTATTTTTATTTTTACTTCAATAAAAAATTAAATTAATCTTAATTATTGACATTTCATCATTTTGACAATTATACAAATAAATATAAACAAAAAAAAACTTAATTTCTGAAAAAAAGTAAAACAGAATACAAAAAATTGAAATTTAAAACAAATAAGAAGAAGAAGAAATAAATAAAAAATTTGGCAGGGAGATGTGTTCAACCAGATTTGAGGTAACATATCCGAATCAAGGCTCATCCCACGAAGGAGGGAGATGGTTATGCGCAGAGGAGGGAGATAGTTGTGCGCACCAGTGGCATGGTGGAAGGAGATGCATCGCGCGTGAAGGAGTGAGATGTGTCGCGCGCAGAGGAGAGTGATGTGTCGTGCAGAGTATAGAGAGATGTGTCGTGTGCGGTGGAGGGAGACGCATCGCACATACATGGAGGAGAGAGATGAGTCGAACATAGGAGAAACACATCGTGTGGAGGACAGAGAGATGTTGTGTGAAGGAGAGAAACCAACACAGAAAGGAGAGAAGAGTAGAACATCATAAAAGAGTAGAACATCAGAGAAGAGAGAAGAGTAGAACGTTGGAGAAGAACCATTATCGACTTGTGACTTGACAACAAATTAAGTGAGCTCGAGTTTGACTGAGTTGACTCCGAGTTTGTACGAGTTTCCTAAAAAACGAGTTTTGTCACGAGTTAACTCGTGAATGGTCACTCAACTCGTCCGAGTTAATTTGAAAGTTTGATAACCATTAAGGATATTAAGAATATCCTACTAAATCATAAGCGCTAATACCACTGTGAAGGAAAAAAGGTCATAAAGAACATTAACATCTTTATCCTTGAGAATTACCCTATTAATAGAGAAATAAGATAAAAATAATAAAAAAAAGTAGAAACTCCAAAATCAAAGAAAAAAATATAATCATTATTTAATGACAACCATATAATAACATTATGTGATTTTTTTACAACATATAAACTATTCTCTTATGTCCTTTAACTCGAAATACATTCACTCTCGAAAGTAAAAATTTAAGCCAAATCTTAGAACACTCTATTACAATAGTATAAGAAAAGTCAAATACAAACTTAAAAAATATCTTTTACTAGGATATCAAAATATCATAAACTTTAAGTTTATTATATAATTATTATCACTCCCTTTTTGTTTATCTCGCTTATCTTAAGTAATGTGAAATTTTAAGATATATTATTTTCATGAATCTATATATCTAACTAGTGACCAATTACAATCCATGTTTCTTAACAACTAAAAATAAAATTTTTTGATATTTGAAAATAAGGAACACAAAACAAGCACAAGTTCAAAATGGTAATTATTTAAAAGAAAAAGGGAAAAAATTGGATGTTATATATAAAATGTTTATAACGGAAAAGTTTATGTAAATTTATCCAAAAATAAAATTTATCATACATTTTATATATAACATTTTAAAAAAATAACAAGTAAATATCATAAATTGAAATTAAAAAATCAATTGGTGTATTCCTGATATCTTTTAAATTTAAATTGTATAATTCTTAAATAACAAGTAAAAAATTCATAATTTTAAAATTCAATACTTATGCATCCATATGTCACCATATATATATATAACAATGATAAAAAGTAACTTTTTTATTTATTTCATCTCAATAATAACATTAAAAATAAAAATGGGTTATAGTTCAACAAATAAAGTTATATTAAATAATTATATTGAAGATAAATTCATCTATTAGTTAAGGTAAGTCATTATAACAAGCTCCAAATCACTACTTTCTACCCTTCATACAAAATATATTTACTTATATTTGACTATAAAGTTGTTTGTGGATAAAGTTGTTTGTGGAGCATCTTCATAATAATACTGAAAGTTTTTTATTTATTTTTTCTCTCTTTTGAGTTAGCAGAAGAAATGTTGCTTACAATGATAGTAAAGTAAGCAAAGGTGACTCAAAATGGTAGGGCTTTTGTGTGAATTGATCTAAGTTCAATGCATCTCCTTGACATGACAATTTTATTATTCTAGGAGGACAAGTAAAAAGAAATACATTGCTCATATATAAAATTGTTTGAACTATAACTTATTATTATGTTCATAGATAACATTTCAAACAATTCACATGTTTAAAAATTTCAAAAGCACTTCAGATTATAATTTGGTTCGTTTCATTCAAATTATAATATAGTTTAGTTCAATTCATCCTAATCTTGTTGAATCACTTGGAGAAAGTTCATTTTTACATTGTAGTTGAGTTCATTTAATCCATTTCCACATCTAACATATACATCATATATAATAGAAACACATTCATTATTATAATAACAAATCAATTAAAAAATTAAATTAATTGACACTTAAAAATAATAAAAAAATAAAATTAAAATTTTGAGAAAGCTATTTAATCTAAAATTTATGTAAATCTGTTATGGTTATCATATTACCTAAGAACTTATTATTTATCTATGATTAATAGAGTACAGATCTTTATATTTTTATTATATAAAAAATAAACTCTATAATTGTAGGTATGTGATAGTTGTAGGAGTAAAAGAGAAGAAAAAAATAAAACAGAATGTACTAAAAAACACTGCATCATACCATGCAATTTAAGTAATAAGAATGTTTTGTATTTGCCTAGACATATCTCACATCATCATAATAATCATCATAAGAATGTTTAGATTGTGAACTCCTTTTCTGATTCAGACCTCCATTGTTCTCTTTGGGTTGTTAATTAGCTCAATTTCAATTTTCCCATCATTAATCTATTAAAATAATAATTATATAATTTTTTTCTTTAATTTGTAGTTTATATATATATATATATATATATATATATATATATATATATATATATATATAAACTAAAAAAAAAAAACTGGCCTAACTAATGTATTGCTTTAATGTTCACGGATTCTCCCAACTAAACCGTGCTAGAGTTTTAGCACATTCTATTATTCAAAAGTTTTTGAAAATGGGAACATAAATTTGAACACTTCAATGGATATTTTCATTACTTTTAGTAATTTATGTTGAAGTTCTCAATGAAATTGAGTTTTTTTTTATATAAAATAGGTTAAAAATATTTAGATTTTATTAAATAAATTTATTAAAAGAGATTAAATCGTGTTATGTTACATAATTTTAAATAAAGAAATAGATTAATATAAAACGATTTTGTAATAAAATAACTAAAATCTGATTTTCTACCATGAATTCAACTTAAATATTTTTTTATATAAAATTAGAGTCTTATTATACAACTTTAATTATATTTATACATAATTAAAATCGTATGTAATACGATTGTGGTTTTATTTTTCAAATAATTAAATAAATATATTATTTAAAAATTAATAATTTATTTATTATTATATATTTATATTATATTAATTATTTATTTTATTTATATTAATTATTATTTTATATAAATTTTGTATAAATAATAAAAATAAATAATATTTTAAATAGGATAAAATATATTAATAAATTTATTTTTAAATTTAAATTATGTGATATTATATATTTTAAAATTAATAATATATATTTTATAATTTTTTTATAATTAAATTAAGCTTTCGAGATAAATATATTATTTTAAAATTATAATTTATTTATTTTTCATATAAATATATTTTAGAAGTTATAAAATATTATATTATTTATTTATTTATATTAATTATTATTTTATATGAACTTTGTATAAGTAGTATATAAATAATGAAGGTAATATTATATATATATATATTATTATTATTATTATTATTATAAAATTAAATAATATATATTTTTAAATAATATATTTATTTGAAATATTATATTAATTATTTATTTTATATCAATTTTTAAATAATATATTTATCTAAATAATATTTATTATTAATTTTGAAATAAATAATACAACATAATTTAAATTTATTAATATATTTATTTTTTATTTAAAATATTTTTGTCTGTTTCTATTATTTATGAAATTTATATAAAATAATAATTAATATAAATAAAATAAATAATTAATATAATATTTCATAATACAAATATATAATAATAAATAAATTATTAATTTTTAAATAATATATTTATTTAATAAAATTAATTTAATTATTTAAAAAAATAAAACTAAAGTCATTCACTTTAGTTATATATAAATATAACTAAAGTCGTTTTATAAAAAAAATTATATTAAATTCATGAAATAAAAAAACACGCTTTTAGTTTTTTATAAAAAATTGTTTTATGTGAAATGATTTCTTCATTTAAAATTGGGTAACGGATCAAGATTTAACTCTTTTGATAATTTTTAAAAAATTTAACTCAATTCAAAAAATTTTAACCCGGTGAAAAATCCATGAAATTGATTCAATGGTGTCAGTGAACATGAATTGTTACACTGTTATTTCACACTATACCATCGTGTCAATATTTGTATTATATTTAACTGTCATCTTAACAAAAGTTGTTATATTTTTTACAAAATAATATAATTAAGATAATAAAAGTTAAAATATTTAGTTGGCACGATTAAAATGTGCAAGAGAAAAAAATGTATAATTACTAAAGATTAAAAATATAATTAAGTCTTAATAACAATATTAATCTATGAAATGTATAATATAACTTTCTCTCTGCAGCAACCTATGGCTTTTTATGTTTTCTTAATAATTATGAGATGCATATCTCAGAAAGATAAATATGTATTTAAAAATTAAAAGGTTAAAATATCTTTCTGAAAAAAAGAGTGTAAATTCTAAAATCAATGGTAAACGCATTCCCTTTCAACTCATTTCAATTTGTTGCTTTATTTTTCTTTTCAATTAGCAAAGGTGTACAATTTTTCTTACCTATAAATTTACTTGACTTTTACATTTTTTTCTTTGTTTTAATATTTGAAAAAAATGATTTTTAGAATAAAGCTAATAAATTACTGAGATGTAAGATGAATAAATAATTAAAATTTATTTATCCCGCTAACTTAATCTCATCTCATCAAGAAGTTTTTTTTGTAAAAGAATAAAATTTAAAAATCAATTACAAAGAATTTAATTTTCAAAATATTTAAAGAAAAAAATCACAACATTTATTTACAAAAATGATTAAATTCAAAATTACTTGAGAAAAATAAATTTTTAAAATGTTATTTCCTCGTATTTTTATTATATAAGAAATCATTTATAGCCTATGTCCGATGATTTCATGTGAGTGATATAAGTTTAATCTCTCGTAAGTGTGTCTTCTTGTACTTTATAATTTTAAAGGTCACCTTCCATTCGTTGTGGAATAAAATTTAGGTTAGATAAGTGGTTCACACCGAAATCAGTCGCTAACTTCCTCTTATTATGGTAACCATGTCAATGTAAAATACATTTTCCCAAGAACCCAATAAGAATTTATTTTATCATCATGCCGTACTAATGAATATGAGTATGAATATGATGAGATACTAAAACAATCACTAGTAGTAATATGAATTAGACAGCCAAATTTATTCCACCTTTCGTAGACACTGCAGCACTGCTACACAGCAAAACCACTTGCTATCATTGCTGCTGAAGAACATTTTAGAAGGACTTTTGAACAGCAATAACGTTATATATATATATATATATATATATATATATATATATATATAAGGATAATCTTAAAGAAACCCTAATAAGAAATTGAAATATAAAATGTGAAGGATTGAAATATACAGATACTATCGTTTAATCCTTAAAAAGATTGTCTCCGTTTGCTTCCTTATATTCCTTATATTTGGAAACGATAATCAATCCAAATCCTAATGATATATTAGTTTTGTAAAATATAAAATCCTAATCAATTCAAAGCAAATAGGGAGTCCTAATATGATGACAATATATTATCAAAAAACATATTTAAATAAACATAAAATTTCTAAAATAAAGTAAAATCCTTAAATAGCAACAACAATTATCTTAACTCAGTCTGCATCAACAAACATGCCTGTAAGATCAAAAGGCACAGTTGATGTATAAAAGCTCAGGCATAATCCGGTCCCAAGTCAAAATCCATCGTAGAGAAGATTATCAACTCAGTTCTTCGGCAAATATCATATCAAATACAAATTGAACTGCGGCCAAAAGACAAACAGCAAGGATTCACATTAGTATATGTTCTTTTCACTCAACATTGGCTAGTGTAGAAACTTTTTCATCCTATCATGTGTTTATCACATACATAATAAATGATAGTTACCCGAGAATAAAATGAATAGAAAAGAGCAACTCCAAGTACAATATTATTAAGAACAACTCAGGCCTGCATCAAACTGATATCAGGTCTTGTGTTTCTGAAATAAATGCAGGCAAGCATAATAGAAATAACAACTAGGTAATTTGACAGTATCCAATCTCTCTCTCCCAAATAGATATCAGTATCTCATGCGATTACTTTCTGATTTTCATTTAAGGAATACCGCAGATTTTTCTTACATTCACCTGAGTTATCTAGTGGTCCTCTTATTAAAGAACAAAAAAGACAACGTATCTTAAAAGTTAAAACTGTTTTGTTGTACTAGAGTATCTATACATTTTCTGCCCTCCCCTTTCCTCACTCACCCGCACCCCACCCCACCCCAAAAATATTGTGCTATAAACACCACAGAAACTAGATCATCTTAACAATAATAAATGTCCAACTTTTAGGTTTAACATATTTAGTTTTCCAAAAAATAGGGGGTAGCGCCAGATGTGTTGGGCTTTGATTTATAGATTTAAACAAAGCAAGGTAAAATATTAGATTGTAAAAACTATTTCATGCCAATCCCATTTTTATCCTCCCAAGTGAAACAGGATGTCAACCCTAAAGAGACAAGTTCTTTTAAAGCTTTCCTGTAATCAATAGCTTCAGTCCACATAGCAATTGTACTCGCAACTCTAGTTACGGCTCCCCACGTCTAAGAATTTTTTGCAAATTCCAATTTACTTTTAAACAGTTAAATCAAATTTGAGATTATATGATGTCTATATAAAGCAATCCAGATTTCTTATGTAATGACAAAGTACAATAGCAGATTCTATTCATTAACAACAAAGTAAATGTGAAATTCGAATAAAAAAAATTAACAAACTCCAATGGTGGTCTAAGGATCACATCGACGGTCCCAGAAGCATACAGAGGTCTAATTCAACATGAAGCATTTCTTAATCATTATCATAAGCGTTACTTGTTAATGGTCCTGCAGACGTACATATACATTTTTTATTGCTAATGACCAAAACATCATTTCTACCCCACAGATAATTCTGGCATACCTTCCTCAGTTTGGACATTGGGTTGATCAAACAAGAGCTGCTGAAGTGCACCAAGATCACTGGCACTGCAATGCAGTTAATGCAAAGTAACCCATACAGCACAGAATAAAACATTGGACAACAGCAGGCATTGGAAAATGAAAGGAAAGTTTTTTCTCGCATGATGAATCTTGCTATCTCACTGTATATAGAATTGGATGCAAGGGCAGACACATATCACTAGTTTGCATAGTTGCCTTTGTTTTCCTTTTCTTTTTTCATTCATCCTTCCCTGTGTTTATTTTGACTCAAATCCTTTTAAAGATTAAAAAACCAGAGTGCTAAAGAGCTGTAGACCAAGTCCAGATGTCATCCTATTTGTAAATTGGCTTTGAGACGGGTTCTTAAATAAGGATCTTGATAGAAAATATGTTGTTGCTAAATATAGAAGAAGGATTTCCTGCTACACTTTCTACGATTATGAATAACAACAAAAGTATATCATGGTTTAGGGAAATTAGGAAATAAGGAGTTAGGTATTGGGAATGTTACCTACTTTTGTAACTCTGTAACTTTGGTAGAAAGCTCAATAAAAGTATCAAAGTTGGCTTAAAGGAAGTTACAGTTTAACACCATCACTTCCCTGACGACTCAGATCTCTTCTTGGAGGAGTATAATGATGCCCTAGTGAATATTTTACTTCTGATTATACTAAGTTAACTAAGTTCATGGAGACTGTTTCTGTTTAAAGTTTGATTGAAAAAAAGCCAGCTGGTTTGACTGAGGATAACAAAATTCTTTTACATGCTCTTGAGTCTTCTTCTAAAGGTTACACGCTTACAGCATCATCTCATTTACTTTCCTAGGTGTCACATATATATGGTCAAAGCAACAAAATACACACAAGCACATGTGTGCAAATGGACACACAGTCATACACATACACAATTATGACATTTGAATGATTAAACAGTAGCATTGGTATTTTCATACCTGTTTTTTAAGGCCATTTCTGATAATGCTGAGATCAATGATGATTTTAATAAATACCTATTACAAAAGAAGGAAAAAAAATAGTAAATATTTTTTCTACTCAATCAAAGTGGTGTTATCAAAAGTAAAATCAAAGGAAAAAAGCACTTCTGCACAAAGCTTTTTAACAACAAAAAGTTGCCTTTCGCCATCTATAATCATTTTCAGAGTTTAGAAGCTAGTTCACCCAACAAATAATAAAGAATGATGATTAACAATTTTGATCACTGAAAACAAGACGTTTCATTTAGCATTTTGGAGGACATCTTTCATACTGAAATAGAGCTAACTAAGATGCTTGTGGCCTTTAGTTTATTCTATTTATTCTTTCCTTCTATTTTTATTTCTTCTTCATTTTATAAAACGATGTCTTATGATGCTCTATATACATTACAAATCTATGTTTCCTTTGCACTTGAAAGGGAATTAAAATGAAGTAATGCTGTTAAAAAAATAAATTATCTATGCTCCATAAATAAAATGTAATTCAAATGTTGCCATGTTCATTATTGAATCATATCATTTGATGCATTAAAAATTAAGTTCGCATGCATTCTGGTTTGTCTAAAAGCACAAAATAATATACATTAAGAAAAAGTTGTTTCCTTACTCAGAGTTGTATATCTCATGTATAAACATCAGGCTATCCAGGCAATAATTAAGACTAGGTTTCATGCCAACTTGCTGCTGCAGTTGTTTCTTGTTCAGTTGAGAAGAACCCCCTTTCACTAGTTGTCTACTATCTCGGTGAATTTTGTCAAGAGATAAGACAATACAGTGAAACTCTTCCCTGAAAGTTCAAATTTAAATTTAAAGAAATTAATCTTGAAAACAAATAAATCATCCCCAACAGATCATCAATGTTCGCAGCCTTGATCATAAAAGCTGAACCAAAACACTTCATAATTTCTTATTCATTAAGTACACCTTACGACCCAAAGGATAAAACCACTAAAACTAATAAAACATAGACAATTTTAAATGTTATATATTACCATTTCATCAACATCACGAAAAAAATTAGAAAAATAAAATTCATCCATTGATTTAATCTCTATAGTTCATGCGTAAAAAGACATAATATGCAATTTGTATTTATACTTTAGACAGCATTTTAATGCTAAACTTGATACCATGTCAAAAGCTGCCAGTGAAAGAGACTTGAACTAATTTCAACACTGTTTTCAAGCAATGTTTGGCAAAAAGTAAAAAACGTTTAAAAACTGCCATACAATTGGATCTACATTCAGTAAACATTCAGAGCACTTCAATGTTGACAAAGACCTAAATAAACACACAACATAATTTTGTGAAAACACTTTGGTCAGTCCGCATTAAGCACAAAATCACATTTAGTCTTTCAAAACACTCCTCAAAGAGAAACAGTGGTTTGTGTATTGTGGCTAGAAGAATTCAGGGCCTATTTGGTTTGGATAAAATATTCCATAAACACTTTTAGGAAAAGAAAATAGAAAAAAGAAAATAAAATTAACTTTTCATAAGCTAATGTTAACTTAAGCATAAACTAATTTGTATGAACTCTCTTATATTAACTTTATCTAAAATATTGTTTTCTAACTTATCTGCATAAGCCAATATTGGGTTATGGAAAATTTTGTATATTAAGTTATGGAAAATTTTGTTTCATTTTTCCTTTCAATTTTCTCCTCTTATAAATGCTTATGGAAAAACTTATTCAAAGGAGTTTGGTACTTATCTTAAGTAGATGCCATTCACAAAAATATTGTACAATTCCCAACAGAAAATATGAAGTGCATTAACCATTTTAGATTGAAAATATCAATAGAAACTCACAAAGTCTTTCTCATGGAAACCAAAATGTTTCTAAGCGATTCAATCTGCTTCTCCAAAAGAGCATCTCTCATACCACTGACACAATTTAGAACACCATGATTGTTGGAATTTTGAAGCAACTACAACATTGACAAATTCAAGGTCAAATCAGTATGAAATAGGATAGGAAAAAAAAATAAAAAAATACAGTAAAAGTGTAAGTCAATTTATATTACCTGCAACCTATCAACAATATGGGAAGCGTTCCTAAACTGTGAAATTAAGTAAGACTGAAGTTCGTCCCATCGATTTATCTCTTCCCTAACTTTTCTAAATTTTGACTGAAATTTTTTCACTATCGATTCCATTATTGTCAATGCTGAACGGAGCAGTCATGAGGCGGCAAAAAGTAATAGTCAGCTAAAGATCAAAATCGCCTTTTGAAGCATGTAGGTGTTCGTTTTGGTTTATGCTTCGAAGCTTACCTCACTGCGGAAAGGTTCGAAGGCGGCAGCGGTAAAGCGATGAGCGTTGCATATCGAAAATGAATCCAGGGTTGTAGACGTTGGCTGGCGCTGTGGGATTTGGTGTCACTGGGGGAGGTGATCGCGAGGTCAGGCGGTGGCGCGGTGGAAGTTGGTAGTGGGATGGGAGGTGGTGGCGCGGTAAGGAGTGGTGGCGTTGTGGGAGGTCACGCGGTGGCGTGGTGGCCCGGTCGGACGCTGGCTCCCGCGGTGGCTGTGGGAGGAGAGAGAATGACGGTGGGGAAGAAGCTTGGAATTGCAGGAGTGAAACAGTATTTAATGTAAATGTTTTATTGTAGTTTTCTTATTCATTTTAGATAAAATATATATTTTTATCGTTATAAATATTTTTACTTTAAAAATTTTATAATTTTTTCTTTCTACTTTGTTTTCTTTGAAAAGTAAATATATTTTTCTCTTTATTAGTTTAATTTTGAATCTTGTTAATAGTTGGTAATATGACAAATGAAGATAGGAATGTAACACGTCTCTCGGGTAAAATATATATATATATATATATATATATATATATATATATATATATATATATATATATTGTAAAATGTGTTCTTATATTAACAAATTAGCACAATTATTAAATTAATATAAAATTATGATATAATTATTCTGAGAAAGATGTCATTATTTAAAATTATATCATAACTTTTATTAATTTAATACCTAAAATCACGTAAATGATGACCAAAAATCCTTCATTTCAGAATTAGTAAATAAAACTTCACATAATTTATTAGATACTAGTAAATATTAAAACATCACCCCACCAACTCCTAAAATAATATTCAAATTGTAATTAGATTGTTTCACATACATATTTATCTTTATTATTAAACTAAAAACTATATGACAGAATAATTCGATCAAAATTATAATATAATTGTTTAGGCATATATTTTAAACTGTACAAAGATTTGACTTTTGAGAACTTTTTTTCTATTCAAGGTTGTATAAAACTTTTAGGTTAAAATTCATATAAGTTAATTCTTTCAAAAAATATTTTTTACGTACTTTCAAATTAAAAACACAAGCAAGTGTAGGTAAAACTCTATTAAACTCTAAGAGCATATAGAGTACCTTTATTAACAATAACCATAAAATACTGTATTAAATATTTCTATATAATCATATGTTATGAATTTTCAAAATTTCATTTAAAACCTATACTTCTACAGCAGAAGGTCAACTAAATACAAATTTTTATCAAGAGAATTAAGTCTCACTTTTTTTAAGATCGTCTTAGATAGAAAATAACTAAATTAATGACAAAAATGGTGGACAATTTGTTCTTTAAACAGAAAAAAAATCAAATAAAACCACATCTTAAAATGCAACTATTATGTTAGTAATTTCTACACTATATTATATTTTTAGTTTATTAATTTTTTGTTTTTTTAAATATTATAATGATGGTTAAATATTATTACCAATATTATGTTCCAAGCCTGATAGCATGTAGAATTTTATTTATTTATTTATTTATTTTTAAAGTTACTATACTCAGTAGATTAAAAACTAAATTCTAACTTTTTTTATTAATATTTTTTTATTAATATTTATCAAGCTTTCTTTTTATTATTTCGATAAAAGAGACAAATTTATTATTTTATATATTTCCTTCACATATAAGACATGACTTTATTATTTTACCCTGTATCAATTTTTTACATCAACTTAACAATATTGGAAATAAAGTTTATTATTATTATTATTATTATTATTATTATTATTATTTAAATACATTTTTTATGTTATTTATTTTAAATATATTATTATTTACAATATTTATTTTACTATTTGATATTTATACTTCAATGCATTAATATCAATTGTAGGTAAACTTGTTTTTTTTTTTAAAATATTTTTCGTATTACATGGTGTGTTTAACTATATTTTTACTTTATTTTAGATATTTTATATTTATTTGTACTTTATTTTAGATATTTTATATTTATTTAAATTGTGTTACCTTTAATTTATTTTAAACTTAATTAGAAATATTGTAATATAATATAAGATTATAATAAATACACATGAAAAATATATAACGATTTAAATAAAATAAATATGATTAAAATAATTTACTTATAAATAATTAAAAGAGTTTAAAATGAATTAAAAATGTATATAAAATTATCGTATAAACATAACTATAATTATGTTATTTAATTTTAAAAGTCTCTTTAACTAATTTTTTACCAAAAATAATAACATATTTTGACCATTTTCAATTATTAACTACCAAAATTCAATTAACTTTTAAGTTACATTTTTAATATCATGAGAGAAGAAATGAGATAAAACTTATATATAATTTTAAATAATATAAAAGAGAGAATCATATTTTTTGATGTAAATATCATAATTCTCTGATAATAGTAGGTTATTTTAAATATGCAAATTATGAATATGTTAAAAATAAATAAATAAACTATTATGTCTCACATTTTATGTTAATACATTTTTTAAATTATTACATATAATTGATTATATTAAAAATATTATGTTAAATTAAAGACATAATATAATTGGTTATGCAACTTGTAATAAATATTATAATTTATATATGAAGTATACGTGAATAAAAATGGTAATTTTTTTCAATTATTGAGAATAGTAAAATGATGGATAGAATGGGATATTTATTATAAGATATAGGTAAAAAAATTCAGTATAAAAAATAAAATAAGGGTGAGTTGGGGAAAATAATAATACACCATATATAACAACTATAATAAACTAAATTATTATTATTATTATTATAATTATATGTGTTAGTAAAATATGGTTTAAGAAGTGCCTCTTCCACTTCCCTCCTTCTCCCACGCCCACACTCTTTCTCTCTTCCGATCTTCGATCATTCAGATCTCGCTCTGCACTCAACACAGTCCCAATCTCGATCTGCAATCTTGATCTATTTTTATTCTGCTTCTTCTGCTTCTGCTTCTTCTTCTTCACGAATTCCCCAATCTCATTTCGTTTCATCAGATTGAATTGTGAATTGGCGCTCAATTCAATCTGATGATGGCTGCCCCCAACAACCACCACCCGAACCCCAACACCCACCCTCCTCCTCCCTTCGACATGCACTCCTTCTTCAACCCTCCACCCCCTTCCTCCAACCCTAACCCTAACCCTTCATCCTCCTATCCTCCGCCCTTCTCCCCCGCCGCGCCCTTCCATTTCCCCGCCTTCGACCTCCCTCTCCACCACCACCGCTCCCTCTCCTTCCCCACCCAGCCCATCCCCCCGCCCTCCAACCCCAACGCCGGCGCCCGCCTCATGGCCCTCCTCAGCAACCCCTCTCCGCCGCCCCCGACTTCCCGCCCCCCGCATCCACCCCCTCCGCCGTCCTCGCTGCTGCCACGGCCGCCGCCGCCGCCCTCACACGCCTCCCCAGCGGCAAGGTCCCCAAGGGAAGACACCTCGCCGGGGAGCGCGTCGCCTACGACGTCGAGGTCCGCCAGCCCGGCGAGGTCCAGCCCCAGCTCGAGGTCGCTCCGATAACGAAATACGTGTCGGACCCTAACCCGGTTCTGGGGAGGCAGATTGCGGTGAATAAGTCGTATATATGCTATGGGCTGAAACAGGGGAACATCAGGGTGCTTAATATTCACACTGCTGTCAGGTCTCTCCTCAGAGGCCATACTCAGGTTTGTTTCGTTCTTGGATTGTATTAGTGCTGCATTGCATTGGCTAACTCTTGTGTGGCTGCCTTGTCTTGGGTTGGTTTTTCAATAAAGGAAACAGAAACAACATGATGAGGCAGTGCTTTGAGTTATATTAAGAGAGGTGAGTCGAGGGACCACCAATGGGAGTCGATTATAGTGGAAGGAGCCGGTCTCTTGCAATGTGGCGAACTTTAGTTCGAAATCCACATCAGGGATGTGTTCACGATTACTGTCTTAGCATCCTTTGGACAGGATTGCCTATTAGAGAGATACCTGTGGGCAAACAAATAATTTTAGAGAGGTGGGCAAAAAGAAAAAGATATTGGGTAACTTTAAAAAAAAAAACACCAAGAAAATTATATTGGGGCAATGCTTTGTGTAAACAATCAGAGAGGTAGCAAAGAAGAAAAAAATGAGGTAAATTTAAGTTATATTACTAGTTAACAAGTTACTGCAACCACAACATAGGCTTTTCCAGCAGGGGTTGGATTTAGTTTGCATGTGTGGATGAGGTTGTTGATCTACCATGAGCTGTGAAAAATATTTGCTTTTTAATCGGATATTGTCTATGTTTTCAATTGTTTCAAGTTTCATTTTCAACATTTGGGGTTAGTTTTGTGTCCATAGTTGTGTGTATCAGGGGGAAATATGAAATTTGAGTCATAATTCTTGTCCAATATGCTGATGAAAAAATAGCATATAACATCAGGCGTGTGAACATTCTACATTGGATTTCCCCACCAGCATTTTCTTGTTTCATATTTAATTTTACTTTAGCCTGCTGCTGTAATCTAGGGGAAAGGATGGATTTGTTTTGTTCATTGTAGTAGAGTTCTCATACTTACTAAGGTTCTTTTATTGCTTGTTGCATATGGAATAATGAGCTGTTTTGCAAGTTCACACTATACTGCTACCTTGTGTTTCAAATGGCAAAATTATTAAAGCATGTCAATTTATCCGTTGATTAATCTTTTTTTTTTCCCTTGCCAGAGGGTCACAGACCTGGCGTTTTTTGCTGAAGATGTTCATCTCTTGGCTAGGTAGTTTTTTTCCCCCTGAAAACTTTATATGGTGTAGTTTGTTTGCTTGTTTGTCTATGGGAACATTCTTTTTCTACAGTGTTGGCACAGATGGCCGCGTCTACGTGTGGAAGATCTCTGAAGGTCCAGATGATGAAGATAAGCCTCAAATTACAGCCAATATTGTTATTGCTATTCAAATAGTAGGGGAGGAGAAAGTTGAACATCCTCAAATTTGCTGGCACTGTCACAAACAAGTAATTGCCCCTTATTTTCCTGTTTCATTATTCTCAATTCCAATTGAAGCAATGGTTTACTTTTCTTCCTTGTTATTTTAATTCAACGTTTTAATTCACAGGAGATTTTGATTGTTGGTATGGGAAAACATGTTTTGAGAATTGACACCACAAAAGTTGGAAATGGTGAAGCGTTTGTGGCAGAGGATCCTCCTCTGAGATGTCCTGTTGACAAACTCATTGATGGGATTCAGCTGGTAGGAACACATGATGGGGAGGTGACTGATTTATCAATGTGCCAATGGATGACCAATCGATTGGTATCTGCATCACAGGATGGCACGGTTTGTATTTTTATTTATTTTTTTGGTTCTAATTAACTGCTACTTTTTGGTTTCTCTGGATTTAATTCATTTTATTTGTTGAAAGATAACAAATTTTATTATATAACTTTTCTGATCAGGATAAATAATGCTTGGTACAGAAGTTCCTTAAAAATCTATAGTTTTCTTTTAGCTTGCATTGGTATTTACTGTAAAACCAAGCACACTAATAGGCTGGTACATTCAAGAATAAGAATGGATACAGAAAACAAGTAGTTCTTTCATGAACAATGCCTTCAGACACAACCAGTCACGAGTTCAAGATCTATTTCAATAATAATTAAGTCTTTAGCAGTGTTATTAGTGGAGGATAGTGTCAAGCAAAAAATATGGATGATTGCGGTGCAGACTATGGTGGAAGCTTGACAGATCTCTCTCTCTCTCTCTCTCTCTCTCTCTCTATATATATATATATATATATATATATATATATATATATATATATATATATATATATATATATATATATATATATATATATATATACTAGAAGTATACTTACAAATCTGCAACATATAATGAATAAAAGCAAAACTAATGACATACATGAAAACCAATAAACTAGAAATACAAAAAATTTTCAAACTGGAGATACATGAAATTATGACAAGGAGAAAGAAAGAGAGTATTTCTAAGAATCTGAACTTAACTGTTTAAACCATTATGATAAGAAATATGAATGTGCACGATGTTACTCTTCGATAAGCAACAACATTTGTAATCTCGTGGATTGACCAAGACAGTTTGTGTCCTTTAAAAACCAGTTTTACAAGTTCTATTTTGTTTTCCTCCACGGTCACTCTTTCTGCCATTGCTGCCCATATCACCATTATGATAGGAAATATGAATGTGCACAATGTGTCTCTTCAATAAGCAACAACAATTGTATTCATGTGGAATAATGACCAAGACTTTGCTTCCTTTGAAAAACAGTTTTAAAATTTCTATTTTTTTTTCTTACATGGTCACAACCATTGCTTCCTTTAAGTCGGCATTGAATATTGAGGTCAAACTCCAATTTTGATTAGAGAAATGGCTCCAAAGGCATTTAAAAAACCGTCATTTAAATTTTGTCCATATGAAACTGGGGGAAAAAGATTATTTTATTTTACAGTGACACTTCAAATCTGATCATTTTTTCATTGAAGGTAGGTAACAGATTAGATAATTAAGAAACTCTGAAAAAAAGCCAATAGAAAACTACTCCCTGTTCTCTTCATAATAGTGTGTGTAACATTTTCATGCATGTCTATGTTGTGCTTCATTGTTATTTCTTCAATTTGTTATAGATGTCTCGGTCATATTTTTCTCTGATCATCAATTGTGACAGATTAAGATCTGGGAAGATAGAAAGACACAGCCACTAGCAGTTTTGAGACCACACGATGGTCATCCAGTTTTTTCTGCTACATTTTTTACTGCTCCTCACCAGCCTGATCATATTGTCCTTATCACAGCAGTAAGTGTATTCATAAGTTTAATAGATCAGGTCTTCATATCAATTATTGCTTTTCTTTATCAGGAAAATAATAAAATTTATTTACATTTAAAAGCTCATATAAATTAGCACAGAGGTCTGTTTCCACTGTTCGTTGTTTCAACCAGATAGTCCTCCATAAAACTAATTTATCACATGTGACTAGTCTATTTATATCTGTTTTACTTTTTTATAAATTATAATTGACACCTGTGTAGGGACCACAAAATCGGGAGGTGAAGCTATGGGTCTCGGCGAGTGAAGAAGGTTGGCTGCTCCCAAGTGACACTGAATCATGGAAATGCACTCAGACATTGGAGTTGAAGAGTTCGGCTCAACCATCTAAGGATGCGTTCTTTAATCAAGTTGCAGCACTGTCTCATGCAGGTCTGCTTTTACTTGCAAATGCCCAGAGGAATGCTATCTATGCTGTGCATTTAGAGTATGGTCCTAATCCAGAATCAACTCGCATGGATTATATAGCTGAGTTTACTGTGACCATGCCCATTCTGAGTTTTACTGGGACAAGTGATATATTACCTCATGGTGAACATATTGTTCAGGTTTATTGTGTTCAGACACAAGCTATTCAGCAGTATGCTTTGGATTTAGCCCAGTGTTTGCCTCCACCGTTGGATAATGTGGGACTAGAGAAATCAGATTCCAGTGTTTCCCGTGATGCAATTACTGTTGAAGGATTCCACACTTTTGACTCTTCTGTTCCCAAAACAATGTTACAAGCAAGTAGTACTGAAAATGGACTTGTGGCTAGATACCCTTTAAGCTCTGGTCATGTTGAGGCACCTATTACATGTTCAAATACTGAAGCTGTATTAGCTCCTTCTAGTAGTGATCCTGATATCGTTTGTGCTCCATCTCCACCTCTTCCTTTGAGCCCAAGGCTATCCAGGAAAGTCTCTGATATCAGGAGTCCACAGTCAAACTTGAGTGATCATGTTGGGGACCATCCTGTTAATAATTATTCCATAGACAGACAAATGGATACCATTCATAGAAACTTGTCTGACCCATTGAATAGTGATTCAAAGAATGATGAGAATAAAGTGAAGCAGGATCACATTTCTAGTGTACTTAATCCTTCTGTCATGTTTAAGCAACCAACCCATCTAATTACACCATCTGAGATCACAAAAACTGGTTCCTCCTCTGAGAATAATATAACTGATAGGAAGAGTGAGGGAGAAGCAAAGATCCAGGATGTGGTTGACGTGGGTAATGCTGAAGTGGAAGTGAAGGTGGTGGGTGAGACAAGATCTAATCAAATTGATGAGTTTGGTCGGCAAGGGTCACAACAAAATCCAGTTTTTGATAGTAAAGAAAAAGTATTTTGCTCCCAGGCTTCAGATCTTGGTATTGAGATGGTTCGAGAAGGCTGTGTGATAGCTGGGGAGACATTACTTACAGAGGAACCTGGCCAAATTGATTCAACTGGAGGGGACTCACTAGGTCAACCTCCTGATATTGGTGAGGATGGACTCCAAGACATGGCAAAAAATGCCCATGAAAAGGTTTCTGACTCATCTACATCTGTGACCTTGCCACCATTTCCTATGCCTAATGCAAAAGGGAAAAGACAGAAGGGTAAAAATTCTCAAGCATCAGGCCCGTCTTTCTCATCTCCAAGTGTATGCAATTCAACTGATTCATCCAATGATCCAAGTGGAAATTCTAGCCTCCCATCTGCTGAAAATGCTTTCCCCCAAATTCTGGCAATGCAAGAATCACTCAATCAGGTGATTTCTCAAGAGTTTTTGATTGGTCAAGATAATGCATAGCTAATCATGTGTTATATATGTTAATTTATTAGCATTTTTTTAAGAGAGTTTTGAGTTATTTTTTAATTTCATTGAAATGAACTAACATTGCAAGAGTGGTATTTTATTTTTGCATATATGGGCATTTGATTTAATTCATGATCCTTCTTATTTGACAGTTATTGACAATGCAAAAAGAGATGCAAAAGCAAATGACAATGATGGTTGCTGTTCCAGTGACAAAAGAAGGTAGAAGGCTTGAGGCTGCCCTAGGGAGACACATGGAAAAAGCTGTAAAGGCCAACAGTGATGCTTTATGGGCTCGAATCCAGGAGGAGAATGCAAGAAATGAAAAGTTTTTACGAGACCGTACCCAGCATATTACGGGTTTGATCAGTAACTTTATGAATAAAGATCTACCCGCAATACTGGAGAAAACAGTAAAAAAGGAAATGGCTTCGGTTGGGCAAGCAGTAGCACGTGCAATGACTCCTGCTGTGGAGAAAATAATATCTTCTGCTATCGTGGAATCCTTTCAGGTTTGCACATTAATTCTCTATTTAATAGACATTGGAATGAAATTAAGAGATTGTCTTTCTGGGATCTAATTGGCTCTTTATGCCATAGAGAGGAGTGGGTGATAAGGCAGTCAACCAACTTGATAAATCAGTTAGTTCAAAAGTTGAAGCTACTGTAGCTAGGCAAATCCAAGCACAATTTCAGACAACTGGCAAACAGGTGCTTCAGGTACGTCAATTATAGTGCTTTTACACTTAGTGTAATGTATCTTCATATTACATCATTCTTGGAGTTAGTTGTATTGTAATTTCATCTGCAATAGCATTTGTTCATTACAATGTGTTAATTTCTTCTGTAGGAGGCACTCAAATCCAGTTTTGAGACATCAGCGGTTCCTGCATTTGAAATGTCGTGTAAAGCCATGTTTGAGCAAGTGGATGCTACATTTCAGAAAGGCATGGCTGAACATTCAACTGCTGTGCAGCAACGTCTTGAATCTGCACCCACTTCTTTGGCAATGACACTAAGGGTGAGTAGTAACTGACAGTACTTGCTCCTTTGGGGGTACTTCTGCAAAACTTTGCATCTGTGTGCATGATTGCCACTTGCTGAGTGGGCTAGGATCATTGCACCACCAACATGCTAAGAGGGAGGCTTGGAGATTCGCTTTTATACCATGTAGATAATGTTATAATTGTTAGTTTTTTTTTAAATCTTTGTTGCTTAGTTCGCATGTGAATTGACATAATTATATCTGCTAAAGTGAAATGATTGGTTATCGGAAAAGCTTTTGGACATGTCAGTGTTGCTCATACTTAGCTTGTCACTGTTATTGTATCTCAATGGTAGTATTCCTCTTGATGCATTTTGCAGGATTCTATTAATTCAGCGTCATCAATTACTCAAACTTTGAATAGAGAAGTTCTTGAGGGCCAGAGAAAGCTAGTAGCACTCGCAGCTACAAGAACAAACTCGGGCACGTTAAATCCTTTGCCCGTCCAGTTGAACAACGGTCCTTTACTTCATGAAAAGGTGGGGTGACTTTGCTAACCTAACCACTTGTGGGTCTTCTGTTGGTAGGGGTGAACAGAAAGCTTTACTTTTGTGTTACATGATAATAATTGCTCTTGCAAATTTGCATGGCGAATCAGGTTGAGGTTCCCCTGGATCCCACACAGGAGCTCGCAAGGTTGATTTCTGAACGGAAATATGAGGAGGCTTTCATTGGAGCTTTACATAGAAGTGATGTATCCATTGTATCTTGGTTATGTTCTCAGGTAGGTCAGAGATGTTATTCCGATTATTATGATGCGCTTAACTAGATAGCTCTGGTAGTTTTAGAAGGGAGGGGCAAAATGTGTAAAAGGTTACAACCGTTTGCAATCAAAATCTGTTGATTCAACTTGAGTTGGATCATTAATAGAATTTCTTAAAACTGTTATGCATGTCTCTGTAGATATTTCTCATCTTATTCAAATAAACACTGCCTACTAAGTATTTAATTAGATGACTTCATTTCTGCTAATCAGGTTGATCTACATCGACTCTTATCGATGGTTCCTCTTCCTCTAAGCCAAGGTGTACTGCTTTCACTTCTGCAGCAACTGGCCTGTGACATAAACAACGATACACCGCGAAAGATTGCATGGTTGACAGATGTAGCGTCTGCCATAAACCCATCGGACCCGGTGATTGCGATGCACACACGACCCATCTTCGAGCAAGTGTACCAGATACTGAATCATCAACGTAGCTTGCCTACGATGACTGGAACTGATCTCTCAAGTATCCGTCTTTTATTGCATGTCGTCAACTCCATGCTTATGACATGTAAATGATTCTTCTTTGTTGTTCTCATTTCCAGAAAATGTGCAAATCCTTCGCCTTGTGAACTTCTAATATGACTCGAATTTTGTACAAAGCTCACTGAGTTTCGTTCAATTGGTCGAATTTTGGTAGTTAGTGTTCAAAGGTAGGTAGTTCGTCTGTGAAAATATTCTGTAGCAACATTGCTTTTTTACTCTAATTACACAATTTCTTCCATTCCATATGGAAGCGACAATTCCAAAATGCGTTTGTTATGTTCATTACTTATGTAATAGTATTTACAAGTTTATTAAAAAAATCCAATCTGTACATTGTTTATGTAATAAAATTGATCCAATTTACCATTAACATTTGTTATTGCTGTCTATAATTTATATGTAGAAAAAAAGTTATTTATGATAATTGTAAACTACTTATTCGTCTACAATTTTTAAGAAAATATCTGAGCTTTACAATGTTACTTTATTTATTCACTCTAAAGGAATGATTATTTGACTTGTTGATTTTAGAGATATTTATAGATGGGTTATTAAATATAATTTATTTTGAATGCTTTAGTATATAAGTAATTATCCTAAATTTTTAATAAATTTTAAATAGTAAAATATGTTAAACTGAATTTTTTTCATTAACTTTAATTTGATGGTTGATTAGATTTATAAACAGGTTAGGAGGAGTTAAAGTTTAATTTTCAGTAACTTTAATTGTGTATATGTAAAAACAAAACTAATAACATAAGATGGGGATATCATTAAAAAATTATGTAAAATATATTTTTTATATTTATTATAATTAAAATATTTTATGTAGTTTTTATATAGAATAAATTAATTATCATTAAATAAATAATTGATTTGATGTTATCATTATAGAAAAATTTGAATTCATAAAATATTATAGCTAATAATAAATATATATTATCATATTCACGAAGTTCAACTTGATGAATTTTAAAGAATAATACGTAAATGATTTGTTTTCAAATATATAAAGAAATCATATTTAATTATACATACATTAACATAAACATCGTTTAATGAGTTATATAATATAAAATTAATAATTTTTTAAAATTAATTATTAAAATTTTAATAAAATAATTAATAATATATAAAAATTAAACAAAATATTTAAATTTAACTAAATTGATAATTGTTGTATAAAAAATATATTTTACCTTTAAAAAAAATTAATACATTTTTAAATATTCTTAAAGAGGCAGATATAAAGAATATTAGGATTGGCATTGGAGAGAGAAGGGTTATAAATAATAAGGAATGTGGTTGTTACATATTAGTAAAAAGGAAAATAATATTTTACAAACATAGAAAAGCAATCTTAAAATAATATTTTTTTAATATTTTTATATTAATTAATAAAAAATACAATAGATAAAATAATAATATACAAATTTATAAAATATTTCAACTTGCAATGATTATTGGATTAGCAATGTACTATTTCTCTTTTTTACTCTTTCCTTTTACCTATTTTATTCACAACAATGTTAAAAGAGTTAAATTATGAAAATAAAAAAAAAACAAATATGTTTTGAGAAAATTATATTTCATCATTTGAACAAACATAAATGTTGTTAATTTATAGTTGAACTCATAATTTTTCCATATATTTATAATAAAGTTACAACTTAATGAAAACCAAAATATTAAGATTGGAGTTTGAACCACCCCTCTCATTTTTAACCAAAAAATTGGTTATTTTATTACTTTCTTTCTTTGCTATATTTATAAACAATAATGGATCTTCAAATATATAAAACATAATAAAATTTTAAAACTATTTTTTATGTAAAATTGAAGAAAATGAGGAACCAAAATTCTCTTGTAAATCATATAAAGCTCTAAACGTTATATAATATATAAAGAAAACCTAAATTGTGCATACATTTTACTACTATTAAATAAAATATAATATTATAAAACCAAACCAACAATAATCACAACTTTAATATTATATATCTTAAATTATATTTTAATAACTCTATTTTAAATAATCTGTTCTTTTATACAGAGTTTTTTTTTCTTGCTTTAGTTGATAAATAAGATATTATATATATATATATATATATATATATATATATATATATATATATATATATATATATAAAGTCACCCTCATAGTTTAAAAATTGATTATTTAATATTAGTTTTTATTTCCTTTTAATTTGTTATTGTAAAGGAAAACTCCAAAAACTCTTAGGATCTGATTATAGAAATGCCTAATTAACAATTTCAACATGTTATAATATTTATAGATTATCCAAAATTCATACAAAATTTACATAAATTTCTATTCTACAGGAATAGAAAAACAAAGTCTTTGTGGTTTATCTCTAACGGTCAATTGAAAATTAAATGACTAAAAAAATTATATATATATATATATATATAATTTAAAAAATGATTCAAAATTTAAAATAAGATAAAAACAAAGATTATATTGGTTAAAAATTTAATGATTAAAGAAATTGTATAAAAAAATCAAAGAATAATTCAAAATTTAAAATAAGATAAAAACAAAAATTATACATAAAAATTATGTAATTAAATCTCAAAATAATTCGTTCCATACCTACTATTTTTAATTTGTAATTTTTATTAAGTTATTATTTTATATTTAGGTTGTGCTGAGTTTCATACACAAATATCTCACTTTAATATCCAAATGTTTCAAAATTGAGGAAAAATAAACTTCAAATTCTAATGGATTAGAATTGATCCACTCAACTCCACCAATTATGCAATATTTGTATCTAAAAAAAGAAGAAACGAGAAATTTAGAAAAAAGAAGTTAAAAAAAATGTAGGGAAATGGTAACTTTAAAATAATAAAGTTTGAAATATCCGTTTATAACTTTTTTATGTTAATTAGGAAAATTTTCAAACTTTATCTTACAGTATCACTTTTATTCTTAATTAATATATTTTTTTTAATAATTAGAGAAAAATAATTTTTATTTAAATCGAAAATCCAACAGTAGATTTTCCTAATCGTCTTCACTGGTGTGAAAATGTTGGAATCAGTATTGATCTTCTTCATTAGTTTTTCATGACCTTTAATTAATCACAAACGGTTAATAAGAAAATTTGCACATTCACCTTCCCGATTCGAATCGAATCTCTTGAGAACTATTTCCTCAATCTTCGTTTCCTTTCTCTCGTCTCATCCTCTTCCGTGACATTGATGCAAAAGAAAATTTTAAAAATAGTCATCAAAGAACAAAACAAATCAAAAAGTAAAAACCATTCACATTCTCACAAAAAGAAACAGAAGCAAAATTTGCTTTCACCCTCTCTCCTCTCAGTATTTCTCTCCGTTGTTTAATTTATACGCCTAAGTTAGTCATTTTCAGATTCTCATCACTCTTTGTTCACATCGTTTCCACCTATTCCTCTTTCTTGTTATCCAATCCACAATTTTCTTTATTAATCGCCAAAGCAAAGTGAATCATTCCTAGCCATATCTACCAGCATTGGTCCGTTTCCCATCTTCGCGTCGCGTAGAACGTGGACGAATGGTTCCGACTTAGCGGAATCGGAAACCGGCGGTTTCTTCCGCCGTGCGCCGCCGTCAGCGTCAGATCGTACATAGCCCTCGCCGAGGGATCCGACAGCGTCTCGTACGCGCTTCGGATCTGAATAAAGTCTCCGTCGCCCACTTCGCCGGCACCACTGATGTCCGGCGAACGCCGCACCACAGCATCAGGATGGTAGAGCTTCGCGAGGCTCCTGTACGCCGACTTGATCTCCGTCGGGGACGCGTCGGGCTCGACTCGTAGCACCTCGTAGAGGCTCGCGGCCGGCAGCCGCGTCTGAACGTCTTGCGCCGCGACGGCGCGGACGGAGGTCCGGTGGGTAGAGGCTGCAGAGGAAGAGAAACGGAGCGGAAAACCTACGGCTGCAAGATTGAGCGTCGGCGTCATCGGAAATTGAATATTGAGTAGTTTCCCTCCGAGGGTGAAATTGGAACGAGGAATGTTCGAAGGTTTGGGTGGTGAAGGTAATGGCGTGAGGGTGTTTATATAGAGGTCAAAGAAGGAGAGGATAAAGAGTTGAGGGGTAAAAGAGTCATTTCGCGTGCCACGAGGGATTTATGCGTAACTGTGTGGTGTCGACGTGGCTTGGTCCTGTGCGTTTTGCAACAGCTTCTAGAATGCCCACATTTATAGGATGGAATTTCGGGCTCCACTCTACTTTATTGCATTTTTTTTCTATGTCATTTTTGTGTAACATCAAATTTGTTCCCCATTTTACTTTCTTATAAATTTTGTTCAGTATTTACATGTTTTTTTATGTTGATGTTTAAGTAGGATTATAACTTTATTTCGATAATTTATATCGTATTAAATGTTTTCATAAAGAAAAAAAACATTAGCAAGATAACAAAAATAGTTCTAACATAAGAATAACAGAATTGTATTGGAGGTTTTTTTTCATTTAGTGTTTGCTGGAATTTCGATCGATTTCGATTCTAAGGGTGTTTTGGTCCTAATCAAAATTCTACCACGTAAGTTCTTTTTACTTAAGCTAGAATTTGATTTTCAATCAAAACGCTGTATTTGAATCGAAAACTACGAGATATCGAAAATGTGGTTTTTGGTATTTTATGTCTAAAATGCTTGACTCAAATAAAACGAAGAAAGTATCGAATCGAAGCAAAGAGAATATTAAATTGCAAGAAAGTGCTGAAACCCGAATTTGCAAGAAATTAAGTTTGCGAGATAAATAAAGAAGCAGAAATCGAAATGCGCGGAAATGTAAATTGCTAAAACCCATTAAAATTGCATGTAAAGTAAATAACAGAAATCGAAATGACATTGAATGTAATCTACAAGAATATGAAATTGTCGAATTGAAATGGCTCGAAAGTAAATTACCAAGGAAAATATAGAAGCGATAAATGTACTCGCGAAGCAAGGAAATCCAGATCGCGTAAACTTCATGGTGTTCGTCGTTTCTCCGTAGACTTTTCACTACCGATTCTCGTTCTCTGCCAATTTCCCCGTTCCTTCCTTCTTTGCTTCTATTTATAGGGCATCTTTCAAGCCTTCCAAGAACAGTTAACACGACTGTTACCACGTTCTACGTGCGTATGGCAGTTTTTCTTCTATTGTTTCCCCACGTTCCCATGATTTTTGGCTCTTCCATAACTTAGAACCGCTTTCCATGCGTGCGTTTGACTATTTTCCTTCAAGGTTTAACCGAGGTTATGATATCTACGAAAACGAGCCTTCCCTTTGATTTAATCGAGAACTTTGCATCCTTGGTATCGATTTATTTTAACTTTAACTCCATGTTAAGCTTTCGACTATTACACCTTCTCTTCCGATTTTACCTTTCGATTTTATGTGTCACGTTCTTTATAATCGGACATCGTGAAAGTTCCTTTCGATTCATTTCTCGATCAAGCTTCTCGATTCCACACTAACAATTTGAAAAATAGGTTTTAATTTGGAAAAAGTAAATAAAGAGTATATTATTGAAATAAAAAGATTTGATTTTAAAGAGTTTAGATTTTTTGAAGGGTTGGTCCTTAATGCTCTATTTCTTACTTCCCTTCCTTTTTCTTTTGTTTATCCTTTTACTTATACTTTCTCTATACCTTCTTATACATAAACAAAAATATTTTCTACTTGTTGCTCCTTCTTATTTATCTATTTCACTTTTTTCAATGATTTATTTTTTAAGAACTCAACATTTCCACTAATCCCAAGGACAAACTGCATAAATGAATTGCTTCATTTTTCTGATTTACGTGGGTAGATTATTAGGAAGAGATACGGTAAGTAGTTTAAGAGGAAAAAGTAAAAAAGGAATTACGTAGAAAGTAAAACAAAATGGAAAAAGATTTAGATAAATGTTGCTAATAATATGTAATTAATTAACTTATTACTATTTATAGCTTATTTTTGTTGTTGCGGATTTTTCTTCTAGAAGCTCTCAACTAATTGTAATATTTTTAAAGATTTTGTTTCTGACGATGTGATGTAACTTGAGATGTCGCGGACCCCACGGAGCAGAGAACAAAGCCCTTCCTATTCCCTTTTTTTCTTTTTCTTTTTTTTACTTTTTTAGGAAGACAGAATAATTAAATTAAATTTCTAAAAAATAGAGGACGAAACAAAACATAAATTTAAGCTACATAAAAAGAATTAGTTTAATTTTCAGAAAACAAAAATGTATTACTTATAAAATATTTGTTGTACCAGACGCCAGGGAACACTTGTGTGGGCATGTCCCACTTTTTAGAGACCTAAAGACAGAAAAATAGGTTACACGTGGCATTTGAAGTACCAGAAACAAGACTTTGGTTTGGTTCATGATGTTTTAAAATATGGATAATATTTTATTTATTAAAATAATGTCACAAAATCAACTAGGCTAAACTTTCATTATTATTAATTTTTTCTTCAGAACTTTGTGTGAAAAGTAGACAATCCTCTTGTCTATGAATTTGAAGATCGGGGTTTGATGAATAAGACGTTTATGTGTATAATTATGTGACATGATGAAGATATATATCTCTTTGTTTCTTATCAATTCATAAAGAAACACAACCATGTGAAAACTACCATTCTATCCTCCAAATTATCATAAATTATGTGAATAAAAAAAATATCTTCTTAAATTTCAAATTAAGTGTATCTTTTTTTTCTACAATGTGTGCTTCTATTTCAGCTATTCATTTATATTATATACAATAGTAGAAAACCAGTGCAGGTGTATGTGTTTTATTATTTTAATTTATTAAAATATATATATATATATATATATATATATATATATATATATTCTAAAATATAAGTATTTGTTTTTAAAATTATAAATTAATAAAGAAAAATAAATGTTGAAACAAATTTTCAAAGATCGATGTACCCATTTTTTTACTAAGTATTTACTATATTTTTTTTAATTATGATATTATTAACTTTTGTCTCTCTGATAAAAAAAGTTAAAAAAATATTTTATATGTATGTAAAAATTCCTTTGTAATCTAAAAAAATATATTATAATTTAAAGAAAAATAATTATTGTGATTTATATAGTTAAAAATAGTAAAAATATGAGAAAGATAACAAAAGAGAAAATAAATTAAAAGATAGTTTTTTATAACTTTTTTTACCTGAAAGAGAAAATAAAAAAAAAATTAAATAAATTAATTATAAAAAATGTGAATACGCAGATATTTTATCTGCCTACATTTCCATTAATATATATAATTATAATCTTAACCAAATAATTTATTTATTTTTAATTATTGTTGTGAGATATTTATTATTTTTTTAATAATTAGTTTTTAAAAATGTGACTAATCATCTTACAAAAATCATCTAATTGTTCCTTGTTAAACTGAAAAAACACAAATACAAGATTTTAAGTAACATTCTAACCTAGTGTTTTTAAACTAATGTTTTTTGTTAGTTATTAAGGAAAGTTTACAAATGTTTTTGAAAATTTTTTTAGTACAATGTGTAAAATAATTTGATTTTAAAAAAATGAATTTATAAAAGGTATGTGTTTGAGAAATTGATAATTTATATTATTAAATCATAAAAACCATAAAATGATAAAAATGTATTTGCATCACTTATTCTCTTATGCAAGATGGAGAAATGGTAGGTAACAAAGTTTATATCGAAATATGGTGCAATTGGGGAAGAGTGAAATGAATCTGTAGCTTTTGTTTTGTTCATTCTTATCTCACTCACATATTTGATGCATATTAAAAGTTTTTGACAACAAGTTCAACCAAATCTTAAAATTACAGAACAAGGAATGTGATGGAAGACAAATTTAGCATGTTATGAGTGGGGGAGAGAGTGAAAGAGAAGAGAAAGTGGTGTTTCCTTCTACAACCTCCTTCTTCTTGTCACAGCATGCATACACTTCTACAAATATTATCTATTATCCACTCTTTTTTTTATCATCCCATAACCATTTTTAAGTGTTTTCAAACCTTGTCCTATTATTTCCTGTTTAGTATCCTTTATCATTTATCACGTTTTTTTCTGTTGCAATTGGTTGTAAGTCTTAAAGGTGAGCAACAAAATAGTTTATACTCAAAAATATTGGCTGAAAAAGGAACCAAACACTACCATAATTACTCTTGTGTTGAAAATTTTAAATTAACCAAGAGCATACTATTTTTGTAATTTAACTTCTACAAATTTAATAATATAATATTTATGATTCTTTTTTGTGGTAAAATATTTTTTTAAGTCCATAAGTTTTTTTTAGTGAAAATGCTTAAATAAGGACAAAATATGATTCTATCGATCAGAAAAATATTTGATTTATTATTATATTTTCTGTGTAACATAGTGAAAATTTCTACTCTTTCATCAATTTCGTTAAAAATATTAATTTATAATTTTAATCAAACTGACTCAATAATAACGTAGGCCCATTCAGTCCAAACATTTTCATACCAGCTCCGGTCCAAAATTTCGGACCGATCCAATCAAAATCGTATACCTCGTGTTGCGGCTTTTCTTGGATGGATTACTCGAATTGGATCCAAATTAGGCTTCTTCTTATTTGATTTTTTTTAAAATATATAATACTCATCTAATTATTTTATTTAATTTCTAATTAAACATTTTAACACTCATATCAAAATTCCGAAATCTTTATTAAACAATCTTGAAAGTCTTTAAGCATAATATTTTTTCAACTGTATAAATTTAAAACACGGAGAAAAAGCAGAAAGAGCACGATTCAAACCCAATATAACTCTGATAATTATCTACTCTATAAATTTTATAATAATCTTTTTTTAGTTTTTATCGTCATTGGTCAAAGCCTATTTACATTTTGAAAAAAAAAAAGAAAAAGAAAAGAAAGAGTACCCAACCAAACTAAAATATTGATTGGGCTTATCCATACATCAATTGTAGCCCAAAAGGAGTAACAGTTGCCAATTAACACAATTAATTTAGTCACTTAAAATTTTATCGATATCATTAATTTCAAAATAATTATTTATTTTGAAAATCAAATTTATAATAAGTAATTATTTAAGCAATTAAATTAAATATTTTGGTAAAAACATATTAATAATTTCTTTTTTTAGTTTTAATCAAATCATATTTGATCCATTATTATAGGATTAGGTTAAATTAAAAAAGTATAATCTGTTTTAAAATATAGGCTATAAATTTTGTTATACTAAATTCATAGAATATCTAATAATAAATTGCTATACATAATACATGTAATTACTTCTGATTAATTATTTTAAAAATTATATCATAAATAATTTCTGATTGATCATACCCGTTAAACTAAAAAAAATATTACATTCCATTATTCAAATACCAAAATAATTTATACATTCCATTCTTAAACCGCCAACATTATATTTTTCCTCGAATCAGGTCCTTTCCATGGAACAAAGTCAAAGAAAAATCAAAGTTTGGAATCATCATGCAACCCAACGATGATGCAGTGTTCTAAGGTCGTTTTTGTTTGACAAATAATGACAAAGACCAAAAAAAAAAAAAAAAAGAGAAATGCGTGTTAACTAACTGTTAAGAAAAGTACAAAATGAATTATATAAAAATCATAAAGAAACTGCTGCAGAAGGCACTTGAACCAAACAAACGAATCCACAACAAAACTGAAACTGAAACTCACCAAAACCAAAACCAAAACACTTTCTCACTCTTAAACACAAAAACTGAAATTTCCACTCAGATAATAGTAATAATAGTTTCGGGGCAGTTTACTTATTTATTAGTTCATACACACAAATGGAGACTCGAGTTGAAGGGTAACCTACTTGTTTGAAAGAACTTTGTTTTTCCTCTGTCGGGTCTTGTCTTTCAGTCTTCGTATTTGATGTATTTTTGCTCAATAACGTAGCTACTTAAATTTTCCCTAATATTCAATCTCTTCATTGCAGTGCATCCGGATTCTCAGATTTGTCTGAGACGTGCAAGGTGTGATCTTTCTCCTATTCTGGTGAACTCTTGAAGATTTTTTTATAAATTTTGTAAAGGGTTAGTGTTTTTATTTTATTTTTTAATTTATGTGACCATAATTTGCAAGTCAAAAGGGAGTTTCTTATTTTGTTGGTGTTTATGAATGTTTTATTATGTTATAGTAAGAAGCATGAATTTATCGATTTATGCAGTTTTCCATATGCTAGTTTTACAGTTTGTATTATGACATTCTTTTTGAATTCAAGTGCAATGATGTTTAATTGTAACTTTTCCCTCTTTTCATTTTGTGCTAGTGAATGAACATTTTGTGAAGAATCAAACTGCAGTTGTAAAAAAATGTAATGTTGGAAAAATACTTGTGTGAAGAAAGTGCTATGATACAGCATTCAGCCAATGATTCTACTGAAATCAAGATGACGTCTATTGTTTGTTTTACAGATGGGTACTCCAAATGGAAGAGCAATGCACAAGTCCGATGATGAAATTCCTTTTGACACTGAAATAAATTTTCACCAGTCAGAATCTAGTCTGGTGGAGGCACGCCAATCACATTCTGGAGAATCTCGGACTGGTTGTCATGAATCGTTGGCGGGTATTGTTTACAGGAGCATACAAGTTGTGATTTTCTCTAACAAACTCAACTTGCTTATGCCTTTTGGGCCTGTTGCAATTCTTGTGCAGAAGTTTTCTGGTCATCTTGTAAGTTGGATACGATTCTTAACTTCCCTTCACTTTTGATTGAATATCTTATACTGATTTGTGAAGGTGGAGTACAGGGTTGGGTCTTTGCTATGAGTTTGTTGGGTATAATGCCTCTGGCGGAGCGGTTAGGTTATGCTACCGAGTAATATTACATGTACTCTTTACGGTTTTGCGCAAGGTTTTCACTTTTTAAGGCTTCTAATGTTGCCCTTTTCTTGGTCTTATTTAGGCAGCTGGCATTTTACACTGGAGATACTGGTAAAGTAATAGCATTCTACTAAATCTATCTTCTTTTAAATCAATCTACTCAACTACTGAATGCAATATGATGTGTATGTGTTGGTGTTTTGTCTCACCAGTTAGTTATTCAGACAAGTATCTCTAAAATTTTAGCTCTCTTTTTTACATGCTATATTTCATTAGAAAAATGATCCAGTCACTAACTTCAGCCTACATTGCTCTAATATCCAGTTGCCAAATTCATATCTGCATGCAGTATCTAAGTGCTTTGCCTTTTTTATCGGTCATGTGGTTTTGGTGATTTATTTCTAATATTATTATATTGTATCCTGCAGTTGGGGGTCTTTTAAACGCTACATTTGGAAATGCAACAGAATTGATCATCTCAATATACGCACTGAAAAGTGGAATGACACGGGTTGTCCAGCTCTCTTTGCTGGGATCAATTTTGTCCAATATGTTACTGGTGCTTGGATGTGCATTCTTATGTGGTGGGCTTGTTAATCATAAGAAGGAACAAGTGTTTAACAAGGTAGACATGTTAGTTTCTATGTTTTTTTATTATATTCCTTGGTTTTATTTTGTATTACCTGCAGCTGATTCATTTAGCATGTAGGCAACTGCTTCTGTGAACTCAGGATTATTGCTGATGGCAGTCATGGGCATACTTTTTCCAGCTGTTCTACACTACACACACACTGAGGTTCATGTTGGGAAGTCAGAATTGTCACTTTCAAGATTCAGCAGCTGTGTCATGCTTGTGGCTTATGCTGCATACCTATTTTTTCAGTTAAAAAGTCAAAGAAGTCTCTATGTCTCTGCAAACGAGGTTGCAAGTCTTGTACCATGCTTCCCTTTTGTTTCTCACTCGTTCTTTTGTTTGTGGATATGTGGTATGGCAAGCGATATCATTGATTTGCTTGCTCTTGAGTGTATGTAATAGTGTAATCATAACTTTTTCTTGAATAGGAACTGTGACAGACTGTTTACTTACTGGACAGAATGGATGCCCTTTAATCTGAACAAGTAGCATGCAGCAGCGTCATATTTAGATTTTAGACTAGGATAACGCAAATTTGATGTATTTCAACAAGATTGCAAACTAGTAGAATTTGATATATTCAAATGTGTGATTGCCTTTCTAATTATCTTTTATTGTTTCTGTTAAGATGTTCTACAATGGCTACGTGTATGACCAAAATAATCCTTATAACACTGGTCAATCCTCCCCCTTGAACTAGTTTTTGGGTTGAGTTGGTCCAATTCATTTCTAATAAATTTCTTTTTCTCTCCCTTTAGCATAATATATGCCATGTACCATTTTTCCAGTAGATTTGTTGGCATTTCTGCTCACACTATGGAGGGCGATTGAATGAAGGAAGATGGCAATTGGCATCCAGTTCTGAAATTTGTCAATCTTTAAATTATTCCTTTAAATTTATATGAAATGATTCATCACCCTTACCTGAATTTATAGCCTGAAAGAGTGGACAAATGCAGGTGGATGATTAACTAGCCGGGGAAGTTTTTCTCCCTTAGAAATAAACAGAGCAATTGTTTTGTTGATTAAATAAATAACCTATATATCTTCTTTTGAACTCTTGCCACTCACAAAATAATTTTTCTAGTATGCTTTCATTTCATGTTCATTATTAGGATATAAAGCAAGGCTAGGCTGTTACTGCTTGGCATTGAATATTATTATCTTATTTCCTATAAATGATTGACATAACATTTTTGCTCACTAAGCTGTGGTAACATGATATGAACTCAGGAAGAGGGTCAGAGTGGAAACAATTCAAATGACGATGAATCTCCAGATATTTCTAAATGGGAATCAATAATATGGCTTTCCGTTATGACTGCTTGGATATCAATCCTGTCAGAATATTTGGTTGGCGCTATAGAGGTGGATGATTTTCGCATTTCATCAGTTGTTCTAATTAGTACATTTTTTGAGGAAATGAATTCATCAGCTCATTTTATCATTTTTTTTTTCTTTTTCTGCACAACTATTTATCTAGTCACTGTATATATCACATAATGCACACCCTTTCAAATTGTATTGTTGGAGGTGGTGAAAATTGAAACAGATTCCCTTAAGAGTTTACCTTTCAGCCTATATTATTTCCTGCTCTGTATATCGTGTTTATCATTTATGCATCTCATAAGATGTTGGTTTGGCAAGCAGTAAGTGTGTCATCATTAGCAACATATGGAGAATGAGGATGATCCATGCTTATCAGCATTAGGCATTAGATGCTTAGTCATATTTATAGATGTGAGAAACTCTTTTTGCCAACTAGTTAATCTTGATTTTGTGATAGGTGCCGAAGTGGGAGATATAATCAGAATCATTAAAAGAATGAATTGATAGATATGCAATTGAATTGGGAATAAGGAAAGAACTCTTCTAGGGAGATGTCGCTATACAAGTTACAAGTGACTAGAGCTCCTTTGTTCTCAATGCTACCTTGTATTTGTTACAACCTTTAAGATTTAAGAACCTACTGCAATAGAATTACTGTCAACCTAACAAGTCAAAATACTCACTCCTTTTAACTTAAAAATCTAGGCCTTTCAATTCCATCTGTCTCTGGGTGTGTCCTAACATATTGTTCTTCCTTCATCTTTGCCTTTGTGCTTGCTTATCTATGTGAGGTAATTCAAGTTTTTGGTTTGCTTGTCCTTTTGGATATTTTACAAGAAATGTGATTTTCTAGATATCATTATTTTTGAATTAAAAATAATTTTGAGGTCATTATTCCTTCATCTACCCTCCTTAGAATTCCTCACCCGAACAAAGGGAATATATTTTTAAATGAAGTTTCAGTATGTTCTCATTAGCACATTTTTCGAGGAAATGAATTTTCTATTTGATAAACTGTGTTCCAGGGAGCATCTACTGCATGGGAAATTCCAGTAGCATTTATTAGTGTTATATTGCTTCCACTAGTGGGTAATGCAGCTGAGCATGCCAGTGCTATAATGTTTGCCATGAAAGATAAACTTGTGAGTTTCATTTCTTATAATCACACACATGGGTGTACACACATATTTATAGATTTTATTTCTTGCAGGACATTTCCTTAGGGGTTGCAATAGGGTCATCCACGCAGATATCTATGTTTGTGGTAAGTATTATATTGTATGGATCTGGTTAACCATGTGCACAAATATACCTAACTTTTTCTCACCAGTCATTAAGAGTAAATGAATATAAACACTAATAAGAGAGAAAAATAAGAAGAAAAAAATGAAATTGATTTTTCTATAAGCTGGTTTACAGACTCATAGTTATCGACTTCTATATTTAACCCAACAGGTTAAATATGCCTTACAAGTGGTTAATAGTACTATGAAGTTATTGAGATGTCTAATAGTCATCAATTGTGCCTAAAAGTGGTTAACATGTCAGATAGATGTTTCTCACTGAGACAAGTATAATTTTTCGAGATTGAATTGCTGCATAGAATTACTTTTGCTTGGTAAATAGACAATGCCTTTTCATGCAAGTGTGTATGTGGTTGTCTCTACTTTCTTTATTTATCTAACCAAGCATGTGTTACTGTTGGTGTTTTAAGAGAAAAAAAAAAACCAGAGAAGTGTAGAGGAGTACGTTTCAGGGAGGAAATAAACAGCAGATTGTAGTGGTCGTATATTGAATTGAAAGAAACTTTTAAATACACACAATAAACTAAAACTGCAAAGCAAAAAAATAGGAGCTGCATGGGTCACAATCCCATGTTTAACCACTCCCTACAATATGTAAGCCCACTACCCACTACTGACAAGTTTGTTTGAAAATGGTCAAACAATTTTAATTAAAAAAAATTAAATCAGCTAAATTTAATGGCAGTAACTGAAGGACAATTTCAACACTCCTCCTTATTTTGGTTGCTGCAGACTCCAAGCTTTTCTCTAAGAAACTCAAACTTGCTTCTTGGTAAAGGCTTAGTGAATATATCAGCAAGTTGCAAATCAGATTTGCAATAAATCAAACTAACAGTTCCTTCCTTTTGCACTTCTCTGATAAAAAATAATTTGATGTGGAAGTGCTTGGTTTTTCTGTGAAAGATAGGATTGTTTGAAATAGAGATCGCAGTTTGATTATCAATGAATAATTCAGTGCAATTCTTTTGCTTCATATTCAAATCTACCAACACTTTTCTTAATCATAAAGCTTGGTTTATAGCAATACTAGCTGCAGTGAATTCAGCTTCTGCTGTAGACTGTGCCACAGTAGTTTATTTTTTGCAGCACCATGAGAATGCACATGTTCCAAATAAGAAGCGATACCCTGAAGTGCTCTTTAAATCATCAAGAGAACCTCCCCAGTCACTATCAGAATATCCTTGCAATACATAATTTTGATTTGTGCAAAATTTGATTCCAAAAATTGAAAGTCCCTTTCATGTACCTTAGGACTAGCAGCAATAAGATGTGTTTCAGTTGCACAATTGGTAAATCTAGATAATAGACTTACGGAGTATAAAATATCAGGTCTAGTAGTTGTTAAGTACATTAAGCAACCAACTAGACTTCTGTAAAGAGTTTCATTAACTGGTTCAGGTTCATCTCTTTTACTCAGCTTCACCTTCTGGCACATTGGAGTATCTACACTCTTGCATTCATCCATATTGAATTTTTTCAGAATTTCCTTAGCATACTTCTCCACTTTTCTGCTTTATTTTCATTCCTAGAAAATAAGTCATTTTCCCCAAATCTATCATCTCAAACTCCATATCTTCTTTGAATTTTCTCACAAGCTCTTCATTGCTTCATGTAACCAACAAGTCATCCACATATAATGAGACAATAATGAAATTAATTTCATCACCTTTAATGTAGAGGGTTACTTCATTAAGGCTTCTTTTGAAACCCAATTGCATCAAGTACATATCAATTTTGCTGTACCATGCCCTTGGGGCTTGTTTTAGGCAATACAAGGCTTTCTTGAGCAAGTACACATCATCTTCTTGTGCTTTCACAGCAAAGCCTTCAGGTTGCTCAACATAAATCTCCTCCTCCAGAAACCATTTAAAAATACTGACTTGACATCAAGTTGGTAAACTTTCCAACTCTTTTGTGCAGCTATAGCTAGCAGCAATCTAATTGTATCTAATCTTGCAACAGGAGAAAAAGTGTAAAAAAAATCAACACCAAAAATTTGAGAATATCCCTTTACAACAAGCCTGGCTTTATACTTGTTGATTGAGCCATCAAGATTCAACTTGGTTCTAAATACCCACTTCACACCAATTACTTTTCTATTTGTGGGTCTTCTCACCAACTTCCAGGTTTCATTTTTTTCAATCATTCAGAGTTCTTCTTTCATTGCTGTAATCTATTTTGGATCCTTTTCTGCTTCCCAAAAATCTGTTGGTTCAAGAACAACCACATTACACCTTTGATAAATATCGAAAAGTGATCTCATACCTCTAACTGGAAAGTCATCTACAAGCTCATTTTCATCAAATTGAGATTTTGAAATTTGATCAGGAAATTTAACAGCTTGTTTTTCATCCTAATCCCACTCATCATTCTCCATGAAATGCACATCTCTACTTATCAACATTTTTTTTTGTGTTTGGCTAGAAAATTCTGTAAGCTTTAGAAATTAAGCTATACCCGACAAAAATCTAAGCTTCTGCCTTTTTGTCCAACTTATCGCGTTTTGCCTGAGGAACATAAACAAAACACAAAGAACCAAATACTTTGAGATTTTTCAGAGAGGGTTTAAAACCATACCAGACTTCATATGGAGTTTTTCCTATGACGGCTTTTGTAGGAAGCCGATTAAGAAGAAAAACTGCAGTATGTGCTGCTTCTGCCCAATATTCTCTTGGAAAATTTTTCTCAAACATTAAACATCTAGCCATCTCCATAATGGTACGATTCTTTCTCTTACTCACTCCATTTTGTTGTGGAGTATACGGAGCAGTGAGTTGATGTTCAATCCATACTTCACAAAAATGATTAAATTGATTGGAGGTGTACTCCTTGCCGTTATCAGATCTCAATGCTTGTATTTTATGACTACTTTGTGTTTCAATCCATTGCTTGAATTTCAAAAAAACACCAGCAACTTCTGATTTGAATCTAAGGAAATATATCCAACACATTCTGGAGTAGTCATAAATAAAAATAAAAAAATACCTGCTACCGTTGAGTGACGGAGTGTTGTGAGGTCCAGCCACATCCGTATGTATCAATTGCAGCTTCTCAGTCGCCCTCCAAGTTGATTGCTTGAATGGAAGTCTTGATTGTTTTCCTTGTTGACAAGCTTTACATTCTGGAATTTTTAATTCAAGACAAGGAAGATCTTGAACCACTTCCATTCTTTGCAAATTCACAATAGCAGTATGGTTGAAGTGTCCAAGCCTTTTGTGCCAAACTTCAGTTTGGAGATTTGCTGCAGGGAGTGCTATTTGTTCCTTCTTCATTGGATCAAGTGCAAAGCTTTTTCCTTTCATTTTTACTTTGAACACATCAATGTCATTTGCATCTTTGATCAAACACCAATCACTTTCAAAGATAACTTTAAAACCTTTTTGAATCAACTGGCCAACACTCAACAAATTTTGACTGATATTAGGTACAAATAACACATCTTTGATAAGCTTTGTACCTGAGATACTTACAATGGCTACCGTGCCTTTTCCTTTGACTGCAATGTGTTCTCCATTGCCAATCTTCACTTTGGATGTTACACATGTATCCAGTTTCTTAAAATGCTCACGATCAAATGACATGATTAGTGCAACCACTATCAATAAGCCACTTATCGCTTGAATTTGAAATAGAAGAGTAGATGGCCACAAAAAGTTGCTCCTCTTCTTCATCCGCAACTTGAGCATCATTTTTATGTTGAAAATTGCTCTTGCAAATTCTCACATGACGTCCTAGTTTGCTACATTTTTCACACCTAACATCAGGTCTTCTCCAACATTTAAACAGAGGATGACCCATTTTGCCACAATGCTTACAAGGAGGAAACTCTTTCTTTTTTCCATTACCTTTAATGGTGTTGGTAGCGTCTGTATCTTTGAAATTTTTCTTGTAATTCTTCACTTTTTTCTTTTCTGCTGGGTTAACTTGCAGTTTGGCTTGCAATGCTCCTTCCACTAAAGCTCCATCCCTCATTTTGCTCCTTTGTTCTTGGGCCTGCATAGCACTTAGGAGTTCTACCAAGGTAATATTTGATAGATCCTTAGTATTTTCCAATGTAGTAATGGAAGCCTTAAAATTTTCAGGAACTGTTACGAATATTTTCTGAACTACTCTTGAATCAGAAAATTTAGTACCTAGCAACCTTATCTTGTTCGCAATGCAAAGGAGCTGGTTTGCATACTCCTTGGTTGTTTCTAACTCCTTCATTTTTTTCATCTCAAATTCTCTAACCAGATTCATAACTTGCATTCCCTTAATCCTTTCATCTCCTTCATATTCATCCTTAAGAAACTTCCAGATTTCAAATGCAGATTTAATTGTCATGATTCTGGTGAAAACATCTTGTGAGACAGCAGCTAACAAGGTAGCTCTTGCCTTTGACTTTCTTACTTTCTTCTCCTTTTGAGTTTTAATCTGAGCCATAGTTGGATTTGCTGGTAAAAGAGGAATTTCGTAGTCTTCCTCAATAGCCTCCCAAAGATCATTTGCCTCCAAGTGTGCCTCCATTCGTGCTGCCCAGATGTGATAATTATCACCATCAAACACAGATGGTGCTAGTGCTGTGTAAGGAGTTTCAGAATCCATTTAATGGATTGAAGCAAGGTGGGGCCAGATATCCACTCACACGTCCTTCTAAGAAGAAAGATATGATACCAATTTGTTGGTGTTTTAAGAGAAAAAAAAAACAGAGAAGCGTAGAGTAGTACGTTCTAGAGAGGAAATAAAGAGCAGATTGCAGTGGTCGTATATTGAATTGAAAGAAACTTTTAAATACACACAATGAACTAAAACTGCAAAGCAAAAGAATAGGAACTGCATGGGTCATAATCCTATGTTTAACCACTTCTTACAATATCTAAGCCCACTACCCACTACTGACAAGTTTGTTTGAAAATGGTCATATATTTTTAATTAAAAAAATTAAATCAGCTAAATTTAATGACAGAAACTGAAGGACAATTTCAACAGTTACACATAGAATTTTACTAATCCATCCATATATTTTTTATGGAGTGCATAAGCTGAAAGATTGACATTATGTCAATATAAAGCAAAATTTCGGAGTAACTTGTAACATAGATAGTGGGATTGAAACCAAGTAAAAGTAATGAAACAACTGAATGTATTCAGCTTCTTCCTTTATGTATAGTTGATGGCTTGATGCAGCATTGAGGGGCTGTAGTCTGGGTTTTTTATCACAAGTTCATCCTTATGACCAAAGTCTACCCTGTGAAATTTCATTTCCATCACATTTTCCTTTTCATTATGCAGATACCATTTTGTGTTGTTATTGGCTGGATAACCGGGCACCCTATGGACTTAAACTTTCAACTTTTTGAAACGGCAGCACTATTTCTTACTGTTGTAGTGGTAGCCTTCATGTTACAGGTTTGTATTCCAAGATAAAAAAGAATGAAAATTAAAAGTATGGTATTAGGGACTACATTTTAACAATGTCTTGATCATTAATATGGTAACAAGAAAACATTGTGACATATTTCTTATGCATTTGCAGGAAGGAACTGCAAATTACTTCAAAGGACTAATGCTTATTCTTTGCTATCTGATTGTGGCAGCCAGTTTTTATGTACATATAGATTCCTCTGAATAGGTTACATTGTATATTTAGTTTTCTGAATATTTTGTTGTTCCTCTGATGCAAAATGTAAGAAATTATTTTGTCCCACTTCTTATTCCCCATCTTGTGATTGCACAAGCTTCACTCTCCACTTACATAGAATATATGGAGATATGTAATTACTGTCAGCATTTGTTTGATGGGGTATTTCAAAATTCTAAGGAATTCAAAATTCTAAGAACTTCATTCTTGCTTCAATTGTAATTCCATAATTTTTTATCAATAAAGCTACTATCTCTTCTTAAAATACTCAATCCAGACACACCTAATCCAATTTGAGGTGATGAATTTCAGTCATTGTAAACTTCATCACATGAGAAATTCACGGCCACAACCCCTGAAACTGAAGTAGTAATGGCAATGGATAACGCCTACCCGTCCAAAAAAAAAATATATAGGCAGTTTTTTTTATACCAGTGAGTATTTATGGATATAAGTGCATATTTTTACTTTTATTTTATTTTTATTTTAAATATATTTAAAAAAAATGTTCTATAAAATATATTTTTTAATAATTTTTTATCATTAAATATAATCTAAATTAAATTAAAATAAAATATAATATAAATAATTGTGTTAATTTAAATTAGTTATAATATAAAGTATACATTTAAATAATATTCTTTTAAAAAATAACTTTAATTCTATAAATTTAGATAAAAAATATAAATATATAAATTATAATTCTAAATAATTCTTCCATAGTTAAATTTTTTCTTATTAATAATTTTATTTTTTAAAAAATTAAATAAAAATTATTAGTGTTAGGTTCAGTACTATGATATCTGGTTAGGTATTGTCAAAGAAAGTTTATAATAAGAAGATTCTCAACAATAATATGCAAATCAACCGTAAACGAGAATGATATCATTTTTAATTCATTGAAAATCATAGTATTAGAGTAAAAAATTTGTGTGGTAACTAATTCGATTGAGTAGGTAGGTAACATAATCTTGATTGTGGATTCTTATATCGAAAGTCTTTCTAAGGATTTTAGATAACTAAGTGTCATTATATTGAATAACGGTACAAGTAAATTGTTAGACACTCTTAGTTAAGAAAGATATGCATTCAAAATGTGAAATGGAAATCACATTTAAAAGAGAGATTATTGAAAATTCATGAGTGAGTTGAAGTCTCACATTAAATAAATATAAGAAAGTTGACTAACTTATAAATGAAAAAGACTTATCAATTATCTTAAGGTTTTTGAATTGAAGGTGATATTATATTTTTTTATATAATTAATTTGTATTTCATTTAAAACAATCATCTTTATATATATTTATCTGTTCATTCAAAACAAAATAATTTTACACTTCTATATAGTCATAATTTTTTAATCATTATACTTTCTTGTTCTGAAACCATGTATGACCATTTAAGTTTTTATGTTAAATATTAGATAATTCTTTCCACTTTGTATTTGTTGAACTAAGAATATATTTGAATAAACTTTTGATAGGAAAAAAATATTTTTAAGTTAAAAAACTTTCATATAAGTTTTCTATTTTTTTTTAATTTGTATAAATAAATTAATTTGTTTGTAAAAAAAGTTTATTTTATTTTATTTTTATTTTTTTCCCCCTAAAAATACTTAGGAATTTTTGTATCTAAACATAATCCTAATTTAAGATACTTCTCTTATATGGCTAACACATTTAAACATAATGTGTTCTAAGTGTAAATTCAGAATGACTAGCCTATATAATTACTAATAATGACAAATATAATAATTTGAAGAATGATGGCATCCATCAATTACAGAAATTTTATTAGAGTGTTTCATATAAATTAGTTTATATATAAGTTAAGTTTAATTCAGGTTGATTTTTTTTCTTTCTAAAAATACTTGTGAAAAAATTTGTACAAATAAATTTTAAACTTTAATTCTACAGCACTCCGTCCCTAAAGCATATAAACAAACTCTAGTGCATAGAAGATTATATTCAATTTTGAAAGAATAGTCAAAAGTTGATTTTTACTTTAGTGATTTTGAATTATTCTTTTAGTACTTTGAATTTTTATCCATGTCTTTGAAAATTTGTCATGAAATACATCAAATTACTTTTGATTTTCTATTTCTTTACCATTGTTTAAAAGAAGCTTCTCATCTTTTGTTATTTTAATAAAAAAAGTGTCTTAAACTTTGAACGTTTAGAAAGATTCCAAACTCATTTGGTCTTTCTTTTTTTTAATTATTGCCCAAAAAAAGTTTGTCATTTGTTCAATATTTGAATAAAAAAGTGTTAAACTTTCAACAATCGGAGAATTTCTTCACAACTCGAATTGCGAAATTTTTCAAGAACATTGACTTTTCAATATACGTTAGAATGGAGGCGTGATAGAACTTCATGTATGTTTCCAATGAGATAAAGTATGAGTTAAATAACTCATACTTCATGTTGTTTTATATTCAAGTTCTCATTCTCATCCAAATGATATAAATATAAGAATCGAAAAATGTTTTAGTCAACATTGAGCTACGACACTAGAATTCGTGATTGGAAAACCCCAAACATGACCCATTGAGTCAAAAACAATGTGAAGGCACTGTTTTTGTTTCCTTTCTCCCCTCTCTCTTGCTTCTCATTCTGCACCATTCCTTGTCTGCCACTACCTTCGTCACACCTTCCAAAATCATTACAACTACCCAGAAATTTTGTACATTTCATGACAATACTACAAAAATCTATGAAATATGGTTTTAATTTTAAAGAGAATGATATTATTATTACAAAACATATTTATTATTATTTAATTCTATAAAATCTAATAAGATAAAATTAATATCATATTTTCTTATACTTTAATCATTATTTTAAAAATGGGATAAAACTGACCTATTCAATTGGTAATAAGAAACTAATCTTGATTTAATATTTAAAAATAGGATAAAATTAAAGATAATTTTTATTTTTTTATAAAAAATATAATATTGATTTAATTTTTTCTCATCAGTCATATCAACTTTTTTTAAAATATTTTATTATATTTTTTACCTTATTTTGATCATTATTAATTTCTTTATTTTTGGCTTATAATATACTTATATTATAATAACAATAATTATTTTATTAAATCTGGTTGAATGTTGAGTATTTAAATTGTAAATTCATATATTTTCATTAGTTGAGTGATTCGTCAATTTTACCTTTTGACTAAGGATTAAATATTTTTAAAACATTATATAAATATTTGTGGATGAGTGATACAATAAGTGTAATAAATTTAATTAAAATAGATTTTAATATTATTTTGAAAATATGAATTTGAATATAACGTAATTTTACAAATGCAAATTTGAAGTTTAAAAACATGATCACATATTTTTTTGGGGTATGGAAGATTGAAAATATACATATTTGGTGGAGTGTCGAACAAAGTGTGTAAGGTCATCTTTTCTTGAATTGAAATAAAGTGGAATGACTCAGAAAACAGAGTTTGGGCCCTTCTCATTTTGTCATCTTCCAAGAACACTCCGCATCGATTTAACCCAACCCACACTCCATGGGCCCAACAATTATTTCAGTGTGGCAAGTCAAACCATTGTTTCTCTAGTCAACTAAGTCAACGTGAGAATGGCGTGGTGCATTGGTTGGCATGCCTACACAGTAGCCATAACTCCGCATAATTACTCCTTCAATCACTTGCTTCTATAAAAGGTAACACCACATTTCATTTCTAGTCAAATCACAAAACATTTTTTTATTTATTTTTATTTAATATAATATATTTATTGCATTCAAATAGTTTAATTCATACATTTTACTCATTAATGTTATATAGTAAAAAATTGATTTTTTTTTTAATTAGTCTATTTAAAGTTTTGGATATCATTATACAATTAATTGGCATGTATATATATTGAAGGTTTATTCAACGCCTATATTTACATACGATCCGATTAAAAGTTTAATATTTTAATAAATTTATAGTTTATTTATTAAATTTAATAAGTATTATATTTAATAACACAATAATCTACATTAAATAAATTTTCTAACATTGTCAAATTAAAAAGAGTAAGAACTTGGTTGATATTAATATAATAAATGAAATTAAATCTATCAGAAAATGTAGGTTTCCAGTAAGAGTATAATATATTTAAGTAATCTTTAATTTTTTGAATGATTATTTAAGTAATCTTCATCTTTATATAATAGATATATTAATTGTTCAACTTTTTGTATTCTTGTATACTTTTTTTCATTTGTACTTTTGATTCAAAGGTGATGAAGTATTGAGAAGTTTGCAACTTTTTTTTAAGAATGAACCAAAGTGTACGGGTGTTAGGAGCAGGACCAACCTGCTTTAAAAGCCACAATTTCTGTCAATATTTTCTTCACTCACGGTACAATACTTGGCAGGAAAAAATATAAAAAACATGGTGCCAATAATGTTTAGGCGGTCCAAATTGGCATGTTATGAGTTTGCATAGTAGCCAAAGCATAGAGAGACACACTCAACCTCATCCTCATCCTAAACTTGGGATGAATATAATTCTTCTGTCTTCTGAACTCTCTTTCACAAAAGGACCCTCTCAGCCAACAACTGCTTCAATTCATCAGAATCGTGGGGGTTACACCGAGTATATATTGCTGCATATAGAGTAGCATGTTTGCTTCTGTGGCTTCTCCCTGTCTCTCATCAGAAATCAGCTTGGTAAGTCCTCAGCTTCTGGAAACTAGTAGCATTCATTAGTTGTTAGGATGATGAAACAAATGATATTCCATTTCTTCACACTGAGGGAAAATTCAAAACTAGATGTGACTCAACTGAATAAAGATGTTGCTTTTACTCCAATGATTCTTTGTAGTATGCCATGAGAAATCTAAAATTGTGTGTGTTGTTCCTTGAGGTGAAAGATGCTAGACGTAAGTGGCCCAAATTAAGATAGAGAAGTTGAAATGAACTTCCATTACAGCATGGGACAAACTTGATGTGTGACCATGATGATCTCAAACCATTGGTGTGCTTTCAATTCGAAAGTCAGCTAAAACATGGTTTTCAACTTTTCTCCACCACTTGGTCTTTTTGAAGAAATTCCCACAACCCTCCACTTGACTCCACTGGTCCACGGATTCTGAATCTTTTTCACTGTTTAGATCACAACGAAAGATTAAAAGTAACAGAAAAAAAAGGGATCATAAAAAATTCCTTGGTGAGTATGACTACTGAGTCCTCAATTATTATGTTTATATAAGGTTACCTAACCAAAAACCTTTTAAAATAGTTAGCTCGTAATCACGCATCATGAAGCATCTAAGAAGTTACGTAAGCCTTGCCATCTTTTTCCTCCAAGCCTATAATTATATTCAACCAAATCTGCATTGAACCAAGTGTAGAAAGACATTTTCCCGAGTTTCCTCTTGGCCTAGAAAGCAGGTAATGTAATTTGTTTTACACAAGCTAGTTGGGTAACACATGTCCACAAAAAGTGAGTCTAATTTTGCATCATTCATTACTCTGCCTAGACTGACACACTGCCGTACATGCACATGTTCATTAGCAGAATTCAGATTATTTTAAACTATTTCAGCAACTTATTATCTGCTTGCTGCTCTTTCGTGATCTCCACTCTGGTAGATTTGCCCAATCACTTTACATAGAGAAAAAAATTATATAGTTTCCCAAAATATCTATTAACTTTGATTTCAAGTAGATGCAGCATAGTTTGTCTTTATTTTTGTTAGCTTAAGCCTTTATTTGGGATAAACATGCAGTAATCTCCACCAGCTTGCATTGAGTTGGATGCTTTGATAAATATGGATGGGAAAAACTCTCTACAAATAACTAGAAGTGGTACGGGTGACTATGATGATGATGGACATGCCAAAAGGACTGGTAAAGTTCTCTAGGACCAAAACCAATCCATTTTGATGTATACTTGATTTAAATCTTGAATTCTAGTCCTTCCATGTTCTGCCAGGGAATTTGAAGAGTGCTGTAGCTCATATCATCACTGCTGTTATTGGTTCTGGTGTTCTTTCTCTTGCATGGAGCACTTCCCAGTTAGGCTGGATTGGAGGGCCAGTTGCCCTGCTTTGTTGTGCAATTGTCACCTATATTTCTTCATTCCTCCTGTCTGATTGCTACAGAACTCCTGATCCTGTAACTGGGAAAAGAAACTACTCTTACATGGATGCTGTTAGAATTTTTCTTGGTAGTAACACAATGGAACTCTTTAACATGTGCTTCTACAATCATTCTAGTTAAACATAGATATACCTTAAATGAACTACAATAACAACTGTAATGTCTGATTGTGTTTATTGTTATTCAGGTAATAAAAGAACATGGATAGCTGGCTTCCTTCAATTTTTGACTTTATATGGGACTGCTATTGCATATGTACTAACCACAGCAACAAGTCTGAGGTACTTTCATCATGAACATGAAATGAGAAAACCACTTTTGCCTTTTCTTTTGCTTTTTATGTTACATTATAAAAACTGGCTAATTTATTTATTTATTTTTCTGTTGTGGCCATATAAGCTGATGAAGCATGTTTATTCATTCTACTACACAGGGCAATTCTGGCCTCAAATTGTTATCACAAGAAAGGGCATGAAGCTCCTTGTAGATATGGGGGTAATATGTATATGGTGATGTTTGGAGTTGTTCAAATCGTAATGTCGTTCATACCGGATCTCCATAACATGGCATGGGTTTCAGTCGTTGCGGCAATTATGTCCTTTACATACTCATTCATTGGACTAGGACTTGGCATAGCAACAGTCATAAGTAAGACTCATCTTCAGTCAATTATTGTCAATTTAATATTCTGTTTTATTTAAATTAGTTTTCTTTTTCATTTTAATTTAAGTGTTCTGACAAGGACAAAACTTTTTTACAGTTCTCTAGATGTTGATATTGTTCTCTTTTCGAAACTGCAGTTTCGTCATGATAATTTTATTACACGATCTTTTAAAATAAAACTTTTACTCTGATGGGATGGGAAAACAACAGTAATAACACCTAAGAAATTGTATAAAGCTGTTGATCTTTGATAATTAAAGCAACATCATGAAGAAAGAAACATATTAGTGTCGTAAAATCCATATCATGCGACTACTACATTGGTTCTAAGGACTTTGGTTGCACTTGCAGAAAATGGAAGAATAATGGGGAGCTTCACAGGAGTACCAACCGATAAAATTGCTGACAAATTTTGGTTAATCTTCCAAGCACTTGGTGACATTGCCTTCTCCTATCCATACTCCATTCTCCTTCTTGAGATCCAGGTACCTTATTGTTTCATGCATATTCAAATTGGGTGGGGTAGAGGGTGACATAAGACAAAAAGAAAAGAATTTATAGCTGAAACAAGGTTTTGAATTTTTTTGAGCACAGGACACTCTAGAGTCTCCTCCACCAGAAAATCAGACCATGAAAAAGGCCTCAATGGTTGCAATCTTCATTACAACATTCTTCTACCTGTGCTGTGGATGCTTTGGATATGCAGCTTTTGGTAATGCCACACCAGGAAACCTCTTGACTGGGCTTTTGGACGGATCTGGTTTTTTTGAGCCTTTCTGGCTCATTGACCTTGCTAATGTTTGCATCATTATTCATTTGGTGGGAGGATATCAGGTACTACTAAATGTTCCATATAAAAAATAAAATGACACAAAAACCATATATCCCTTCTCATCGATTGCACATGATATGATCTTTTTGTGTTTGCTTGATGTCAAAAAAGAGAGTCACAGTTCCAACGGTGTAATAACATCAGAAGGGACAAGTTGGAAAAAAATTCTGCTGTCATCTGACATAAAATCATGTGGTTATTTACAAAAAACGATGCTATGCTATGTTTTTTAACTGGAACTGTGTGTCACTTAGTTGAAAACTTTCCGTTTGTCTGTCTGATTATATCTGAACCATTCTCTGTAGAGTAGTGATATTTTGACAACCAGAAATCATACAACTCTTCAAACAACTCACTTTTATTAATATAATAATCTATAGACTGATTTAATAAAAATAAAAATAAAATAAAACTATTATTATAATATTAAAACAGAGTTGTTTACAGGAGTTGTATAGATTTGGGTTGTCAAAGTATCATTTTCCTTCTCTGTAAGGGTGATAAAAGTAAAATACTAATAAAAAACCATTTTTTTCGAGACATGGAATTTGATTTGTATATAAATTCAAGCTCCGGTTTTTATAATATAAGTTTCAAGAATAAATAATTAATTTCTAAACTGTTCTGTTTAAATAAAATAATTTATAATCTTCCATCATCATTCCAACCACGATTTAACAACTTTAAAGTAAAGAAAGGTGAAACCACGATACAAAATAGTTTAACTCTAATAAAGAACAAATACACTTTATTTTCTTTAAACATTTTCTCATGTTAAAAGAGTGAAATGAAACCCTTCCATTTAATACGTGAAAAAACATATATTCTTTCAATGCTTTTTCATCTTACCAAACTCTTCATGTTTGTGCTTTATCTGTGTGTTCTTTCTTGTCAGATTTACAGTCAACCTGTATACAGTACTGCTGATAGATGGGCTTCAAGAAAATTCCCCAACAGTGGCTTTGTGAACAATTTCTACAAAGTGAAACTGCCTTTACTGGGTGGTTTTCAGCTAAACCTTTTCAGGTTCTGTTTTAGGACAGCCTACGTGATTTCAACAGTTGGTTTTGCAGTCTTGTTTCCTTACTTCAACCAAATTCTTGGAGTGTTAGGAGCCATAAACTTCTGGCCATTGGCTATATACTTCCCCGTTGAGATGTACTTTATACAGCACAAAATTGCAGCTTGGAGTAGAAAATGGATTGTTCTCAGAACATTCAGCTTTGCATGTTTTCTTGTCTCTGTAGTGGGCTTAGTTGGATCCATTGAAGGCATTGTAAAAAAGAAAACTAGCTGAAATGAAGGTTCATGTCACTCCCCTTAGATTGGTGGTGGTTTCTAATGTTTCATGTAAAAATGATCCAAAGTTGTTGATGGCAGTGTTCTTGAGAGATAGATAGAAAGAGAGTAAGCAATTGTGGGAAATGTATGAAAGTGAATAACGTACAATTTGATGTTAATGTAATCCTTCTTTATCATTAATTTACGAATTAACCCATGCTTCATTTTCTAAATTATAGGATTAAAACAAATTAATAATAATACGTATAAGACCTAAATTAACTATGATGGTAGCTTGTTTAACTTTTTTATTATAATATAGCTTCTAAATAAAGCATAAATTATTTTTAAATAAGTTCATAAATTTATTTTTTATTCTTATATTTTAAAATTAGTCATTTTTGTCTTTCAACTTTTTAAAATACACTATTTTAATATTTTTGTACTTAAATTAATATTAAATTATGAATTTTCATCAATGTATTCTTTATACTTAAACTTGATATTTAGTAGTATTTTTTATTATTATAAAATTGATTAACAGATTAAATTTATTTAAAAAATTAAAAATATTTAATTGATTTTTAAAATATAAAAATGGAAACTAATTTTCATAAAAAATATAAGATCAAAACATATTTAACCCTAAAAGCATAATTAAAAACATCCAAAATATTGTAATTTAAAAAACTTATTTGAAATTTGGTTAACCTTACGCATCACTTGAGAGAGTTGATATAAGAAAAAAAACAAAGAAAGTTTTATAGAATATTAGAAAACTTTAAAGGTGAAAACATGATTCATTGTAATATAATTTATTTAAAATAAAAAAAGTTGTAAGCTTACCCAAGTTTAGTATTATAAGCTAAACCATAAATCCACGTGGTGGACCACAACCCAACCCTACCCTTAAAATATGACCTTTTTAATTGCAAAAATATTCTCAACGCAAGATTGACTTATTCCATTTTTTTATTATTCATAGTTTGAATTATTCCTTCCTCAACGACCAAAACCAATGGTAATGACGATTTTTCCAAAAAATATTTCAAATATTTTAAATAAATAAATAAGTCGTATTACTGAAAATTTATGTTTCTGTGTATTTTTTTTATCCTTTTCTTTAAAATCAGAAAACCATGTTACACACAACTTGTGTTTTATATTCTAAAATATTAAATATATTTCATTTTCATTTATTTTTTTATAAAATATGAGTTAATTAGAATGCGAAAATAACTTTTTATGTGAAAACGCGAAGAATATGTCCAAGTAAGGTAATTATATATAAATAATTAAAGTTTAAAGTTATGTGTTCATTTAAAAAGTTATGTGACTTTTAAAATAATGCATACAACTTTTATAATAATTTATATGACTTATGTATTTAATTTTTTTAAAACCATATTTTGGTTGGAGGTAATTTTAATTGAGACAGGTAAAATGATTGAATTTAAATAATGTTGTGCCATTCAGTATTATGTGTTTTAATGTTGATTATTTATGATAAAGTTTAATAATTAATATTTTTTTCACTTTTAACCGGATACATTTTTTTATTGTTAGATTAAAAAAATTATTTGATAAAAAGTTTTAGCTATGTGTATTTATTCATGCGATACTCAAAATATTTGTTAGTTGTATACTCCAAATATTTTGAATCATGTTAAAAAAAAAAACAACTAGTACCAAATATTTTTATTTGTTTATTAATTCCCTAATAATAAGGATTATCATTTTTCTAAAATATATTGTTTGTTTGTGGAAAAAAAATTAAGGATTCATCTACACTTAATTTGAATTAAAAGACTATAAACTTGTATTATTTAGAACTAATGATAGATTCATACTTTTTAATTTATTATTTAAAAGACCTTTTTTGTTTCCTTCTAATTGCAAGTATACATATTTTCCTCCTAGCCATTTTCTATTCTCATTAAATAATCAATTTATTAAAGTGTTTTTATTAATTCATTAATTAATCATTTATTTTTAAAAAATATAATTCAAGCTTTTTTTACTTATTTAAAAACTAGATGATGATGATTTTTTTTATAATAAAATGTCATGTTGAAAACTCAACCCTTTGAAAAAAAATATAAAAACAAAAACATAAATTACTTAATATAAGCAACATATTCTCAATTAAAAAAAATTTTTTTGATTAATTTTAAATTTTTGAAAATTCGAATTCAAACTATGTGTGCCATTGATAAAAAAAGTGTTGTGTAGGACTATTGTCCCTTTGAATAGAATCAAGAACCTAAACCTTTGGTTATAAAGGTAGGACAAACAAACAAACAATTGAAGGACAAAATGGCATCACGCAAACATTGGCAAATAAAAAACTTATAATTACAAAATGCTTTCACACGTGGTTTAGTTATATTCCATAAAAACTCCCAAGTTCTTTTTTCATTAAACTTTCTTTATTCTTTCAAATATGCTTTTTAATTTGGAATCCTTCAACAAAAATATCAAACATCACTTTTAAATCAAATATATCTATATTAAATATTTTTTTTCTATAGAATGGAGTTAAAAGAATACTGAAAGATGATGAAAGGTGCAGAAATAATATTTAAATAATAATGAAGGTGAATATATAGTTAAAAGAGAAATTTGGTTTTAAAAGCTAAACTAAAATGACAATCAAGTTTTTTTTTTTTAAATAATGTAATTTTTTTAATGAAATTTACTTCAATTTATTATTTTCCCCTCCACATTAATGTACAGGGTCTTATTGATTCATTTTAAAAGTTATTAACATAAAATATAATAACGAGAAAAAAATTAAAATAATAAAAGAAATTATTTAACTTACATATAAATTTATTTATATAAAACATACATATACTTTTTTTTTTATTAAGATTACCTATTTAACAAATACAAATTTAATGTATAAATTAATTTTAAAATATAAATATTTATTGTAAAATTATGTATGAAGAGGAAACAGATTTTAAGAAACATGAAAGAGAAAGTTTCAAAAAGAGAAAGAGATAGAAGGAGAAGTGTAACCAAAGGATTAAGAAAAAAATTGAAAATATTTCACAATTTTTATTTATTAATTTATATTTATGAAAGAAAGAAAAAATATAAATTTTTTAATTAATTTAATTTATTTAAAATGAAATAAAAAAATAAAAAACAAAAGAGATAAGATAAATCATTTCTTATACCACAAAACTAAAAGTGATTAAAAAAATATTTTTATATAATGATATGATTTTTTTTCCACACAAATATTAAAATTTCATTAATATACTATCTTATTGATATTTTGAACATTTATTCTATCAAATATTTAAAAAAATAAAACTAATTATATATATAAATAAATAATATATTGACACTTATATTTATTTTGATTACATGTTATATTCATTAAAAAATGGTATTTAATAATTTGACTGCATAGTATATTTAATATAACATTAATAAATTGATAATAATATTTCAAAATATAAATAATCCTATGAATGATATATTTTAAAAGAAATTTTATTCAAAAATTTATGATGTAGGTTGTTTTTCTCTTCTATCTTTCACTTATCTTCTATCTAAACTGCAATATTAAAACTTACTCAATGTTTAAACAAATATTTTGAAATCAACATTAAAACTAGCAAAATATTAACTAATTATTTAAAATTATGATTCTAATAAATAATTTTATTTATGATAACATAACACTATTTTATCATAATAAATAATTGCTCATTTAATTAAAAATATTAAATATTTATAAGTTAAATATATTTTTTAATTAATAATTTAATCTAATTATAATTAAGTTGAATTATGATAATTAATTAGATGAGGTAATTTTAACTAATTTTAATTAAAAAAATTTAAAAAAGAGAGAAAAAAATATTAAATGAAAAAAAGAAAAAAATAATAACAAAAAATAAATGAAAAGAGAAGAAAAAAATAAATGAGAAAAAAATCTGTATTATATCAAATGTATTTATCTTTATTAAATGCACTTAGAAAATTTTGTTTAAGTATTTTTTTTTAAATATATTATATATAGTATTGATTCATATACATAACTTATGTTTGGTATTTCTACTAAATTTATTTTATAATTTGACTAAATGCATTAAAAATATTTTTCGTATACATTTTGAATAAAATAATTTAAATACATAGGGTATAAGAAAAAAAAAACATTTTCTTTCTTCGTTAACAAGCAAAATAAAAAATGAAATATATCACTTTTTTATTTATTTTATACTTATTACGGAGAAGAAGGAAGAAAAATATTATTTTATAAAATTATATTTATTTAAATAAATAATTATTATTTTTATATTTATAATTTTAATTTATATTTATATATATATATATATATATATTTAAATTAATATTTTAATAAAATATTATAAATATAAAATAATATAAAAATTAAAAAAATTATTTAATATTTGTTAATATAAAATTATTTTATTAAATTAAACTCAAATATTTTAAAATTATAATTTTTTAATTCTATAATTCTATATCAAAATATATATTATTAAAAAATTAAAATATTATTATAAATAATTTTATAATTAAATAAATATTTAATTTTAATTTAATTTATAAAATAGTAATTTTTCATGTTATTTTTTTAAATAAATAAAAATAATTTTCATTCTATTTTATCTCTTCATTATTTTTCTTTTTTCTTTCTTTTTTGAGTTTTTTTTTCCATAGCATTAGTGATATTTGTACCTATCATTAAACTGATATCATATATAATTCATCTCTTATTATATACTTCAAACTTTGACTACCTATTATATTTAATACATTTATAGAATAATCAATTTTATTTATGGGTAGATTTTTAATGTGTACAGATTTATATAGTAATTCATATGTTGAATAAACGTGCAATCATTATATTTAATAAATATATTATATTTTAAAAATATATTATATGTAATAAATAAAAAACTTAATAATAGTTCAATTAATTATATATTATTTTAATAGATATGACAAATATATTATATGTAAAAAGTAAAATCAGTAGCCCAATTCATTAAATATTATATTTATTAATACAATATATAGTCAAACTACAAAACTCAATAAAATATTTTAAATTTAGATTTAATGAATACAATATATCTATTATTTTTAATGAATATAATCTATTTTTAATAATTACATTTATTATTTTTAAAATTAACAACTTTATTTATTAAAAACAAAATAAAAATATTATCATAGTTAATATTTTTATTAAATATGATATATTTTATATTAAAGATAAAAATCAATCAGAGAATTTAAATAGACATATTTTATTTATTCTGTTTTACGCAAACTAAACAATTATTATTTTTATCTCTAAAGATATTGATAATTAATAAAATAAAAAACCATTAAGGTTTTTATAAAGATTAATTAATTAGTCAAATTATTAGATATAATTGCGAAAAGATATATAGTATAAAATGTTTTCTAATTTCTAAAATGAATGAAATCCTTCCTACTAATCAGAAAAACTCAAATGATATCACATTTAGTCATGGTCAAGATACACATACTTAACTAATTATTTAATTTTATTTAATATGTAGTCTATCCGTAAAAAATAAAATAAAATTACAACATAACAGTTTTATAAATAACAACTGGAATCTTGTTTTTATTTTTGATAAATTGTATTGAAATGTGTGATTTATGAAAAAATCATTCATCATAAATTTAGATTGCTATTTGTTGTAAGGTGAAACCTTCATATCTACTTCAGAAAATCACAGTATTAAGTATTTGAGTTTGAAGGTTGGGCAAATGGATGTGAGAAACTCAATCCAGATTACTACAAGTCAAAGTCAACGTGGTGCTTATGATGACGATGGCCATGCTAAAAGGACAGGTAAATGTCCATACTCCTATGAATTATGAATGAATTTGAATAATGAATTTTGATCCTGTCATCCAGGAAATTTATGGAGTGCTGTAGCTCATATCATCACTGCTGTTATTGGTTCTGCTGTTCTTTCTCTTGCATGGAGCACTTCCCAGTTGGGCTGGATTGGAGGGCCACTTGCATTGCTTTGTTTTGCAATCATCACCTATATTTCTTCATCCCTCCTTTCTGATTGTTATCGAAACCCAGATCCTCTCACTGGGAAAAGAAGCTGTTCATTCATTGATGCTGTTAGAGTGAATCTTGGTACTCAACTCTATTCCTTTTTCTTGTGCAATCATTATCTTTTAGGCACTTTATCATTGTTATTGTAACTTATAATTGCATTTTTATTCCTTCAGTTCAGGTGAAAGAAACACATGGTTGGCTGGTTTCCTTCAGTTTTTCACTTTGTATGGGACTAGTTCTGCATATGTACTTACTAGCAAATAGTTTAAGGTCCTACTTGTGTCATCTAAGCACTTTGCTAAGCATTTCATCATCTACACATGGCATAATAATGGCACTTACTGTATAGGGCAATTCTGGAAGCAAACTGTTATCACAAGGAAGGGCATGAAGCTCCTTGTACTTATGGGGGTACAATTTATATGGTGATGTTTGGAGTTGTTCAAATTGTAATATCATTCATACCAGACCTCCATAACATGCTATGGGTCTCAGTTCAGGCGGCAGCTATGTCCTTTACATACTCTTTCATTGGACTAGGACTTGGCATAGCAAAAGTCATAGGTAATTATTTCTGATTATTAAAGTCAAAGACTATAACACATAACTTTACATACTCCTTATACTTAACAATTAGAATGATAAAGTATGCCTTAAATTTTAAAACAAAGATCTTAAGTAGAAAAATTTGTTCTTGCAGAAAATGGAAGATTTATGGGGAGCATAACAGGAATACCAGCTACTAACACTGCTAACAAGTTATGGTTAGTCTTCCAAGCACTTGGTGACATTGCTTTTGCTTATCCATTTGCCTTGCTGCTTCTTGAGATTCAGATACATTGATATTTTCGTATTCACATTGGATGATAAAAGGCATAAAATAAACACATATTTGTATCTAAAACAAAGTGTTGAATTGTTTTATCAAAGGACACTCTAAAGTCTACTCCACCAGAAAATCACACCATGAAAAAGGCCTCCACCATGACAACATTTTTCTACCTGTTTTGTGGATGCTTTGGGTATGGAGCTTTTGGAAATGCTACACCAGGAAACCTCTTGACAGGGTTTGGGTTTTATGAGCCTTACTGGCTTGTTGCCTTTGGTAATGCTTGCATTATTCTTTATTTGGTGGGAGCATATCAGGTACTACTAATGTAACTTCATCATGGTTTTTTCCTTCACCAATTCCATGTCTTATGACTTACCACCAGTGATTTTTGTGTGTATTTGTTTAATTTTAATTAGGAAAACATCATTATATCTCTCGTGAGTACCATTTTGGTCTCTGTCACATGAGTACAGTTCTGGTACACTCGTGAGTCTTATATTATTTAATAATCGAGATCAAGAATAATTTATATATGTCTTGCTCACTAAACCGTCTTATAAGGACAAAATCATAATGAATTAGAGTTCCAAATGTCTTTTTCTCTATACTTACAAGGATAATTTATATATGACTTCCTCTAAATCCACTAAACCGTCTTTTAAGGATAAAATCATAATGAATTAAAGTTTCAAATGTCTTCCTCTCTAAATCTACTAAACCACCTTTTAAGGACGAAATTATAATGAACTAAAGTTCTAAAACGAAAAAATACCTCAGCCATGAGAATTGCCTTTAAAAATGTTATCATAGTGAACATAAATCCGGAATATTCTTGCTCCTAGATGGAAGGGTGAGACCATGAGCATAGTCTCGTTCCTCTTATATATATCTTTTAGTATTCGTATGGAGGTTATCTTGCTTTATACTCAAGTCCCATATTAATTAGGAATTGAGGTTAAAAAATGTATTATTCTTTCAACAGATGTACAGTCAACCAATATACAGTGCTGCTGAAAATGGTGCTCAAGAAAATTCCCCAATAGAGACTTGGCAAATAAGTCTTACATAGTAAAATTGCCTCTATTACCTGATTACGACCTAAACCTATTTAGGTTCTGTTTTAGAACAACCTATGTGATCTCAACCATTGGGGTTGCAATTTTGTTTCCTTACTTCAACCAAGTTCTGGGAGTGCTAGGAGCCATAAACTTCTGGCCATTGGCTATATATTTTCCAGTAGAAATGTACTTGCAACAGAGGAAAATTGGAGCTTGGACTAAAAAATGGATTCTTCTTAGGATATTTAGTTTTATTTGCTTTGTTTAACAGTTGTGGGTCTAGTGGGGTCAATTCAGGGAATCATAAGCCAGAAACTTAGTTGAAAGGGTTATGTTATGATAGATTGATTGGACAACTTTTTATGTAGACATAATTTTTCCATGATCAGTTGAGCAACCAGGAATCTAAATTTTGGCTAAGTCTTGTTTCCATGTCAGGGTGAATTTCTGTGATTGAAATTTTAAATTTTTTGCAATGGGTGTAGCACTTGGTGCCATTAAGTTATAGCATTTGAGGCCACTTATAAATTAGTCAAATTTGCGTATTAAATATCCGAAGTCAGTCTCATATTATCTTATCGTACGGTGGAGTAGCGTGAAAGCGAAAGAAAAAAATAAAAAATAATATTGGGTTTATTGCGAAAAGAACAAAGGTTAATGGAGAAATATTGTTTCAAAGTGTGTTATAGAGTACGTGTCTGTCCCAGGCTCTCTTCTGCTAGAAATTTCGAAAACTTAAAATAGAGATTTTATTAAAGAAGTTCTAAGATATATGATTGTAAATTGGTCACTATATATAAATAAAAAACTTAGAAAAAAAAATGAAACACTATATATGCTACAAGACATTATGTAAAGGTTAATGCAAAAATCAAACAAATTTACTTTGGAGCTACAAGAAGCACAAACAAGTTTTATTATTGGTATAAAATGATGACGAATTCAAAATTGATTAACTATGTTAAAAAAGATAGGATAATATCAATATTAGAAATATATATTTTATTATTATTTTTATTTCAATTAGGAATTAAAATATTTTTATTTTATTTTAAAATAAATAAATATATTATATTATTATTATTTTAATTAGACAATTAAAAGTGAAATATTATTAATATTTAATATTTTTTATAATTTTACTCTTTATATAGACATGAATAAAATATTACGAGAGAAGCATTTATAAAAAAAATATATTTAAAATCCTAAAAACTCAATAACGGTATTAAAACTTAAGTTTTTATTAAATTTGTAAAATAGAAGAAGAGAAAAGGTTGATGTAAAGTTGTTATTCTATTTTATAGGTTACCTCAAAATCTCATTATGATTCAAATTAAAATTAAAATGAATATTCTTCGTCATAAAATAATGTTAGAAATATATATTTTATTATTTTTTATTTAAATTAAATATTAAGATATTTTTATTATATTTTAGAATAAGAAAAAATATTACATTATTATTTTTATTTAAATAGTTAGATAAACAAATCACAACAATAAAAAAACAATAAAAAAGATTATAGAATATAAAATAGAAGAAAATTTTCTTTTTATAACATGTTTTACAACTAATAAATTCACATTTTAACTTATGGATGTAGAAATTACAAAACTCACAAATGTATTTTTTTCAAAGTGTTTAATAAATTAGTTACTTTTAAAGTAAAAATTAACAATTAATAAAAAATAAAAAAGGTGAAATGTATCAGAATAATTATAATTAAAAATCATTAAAATGTCAAATAATTTGTTAATTAAAATTGTGCAGTGTTTCTTAATTGTTAAAGAAAAGTTATAAGATATTTATTAAACATAAAATTTGAAGAATCAAATAACTTGAAAATATTTAAAGTTCCTATAAAAGAATGTTTTATTTTATATTTGCTTAAAGATGAGTTAATTACTAATAAATATATAAAAAATCAAAAGAAAAAATAATGCATATTTCTTAAAAGAAAAAAAAGTGAGATGAAGTTAATATACATATATATATATATATATATATATATATATATATATATATTGATAAAAAAAGTGAGAAGGAAATTATAAGAATTTCAAATAAAAGATGGAATTAAACAAAAATAAGGAGAAAGAATATCAAATTCAAAACATGTATTAAAAATAAATATTTTATTATTATTTTATTTAAATTAGATATTAAAATATTTTTATTATATTTTAAAGTATAATAAAAATATTTTATTATTTTTATTTAAAAAACTATTTTTTTTTATTAAAACAGGACTTTATAATAGAAACTGAAATAACTAAACAAATCCAATTTAATTATTACATGATAAAGGATCAATTTATAGATGTATTTACAAAACATTATCAAGTTTTTTTTCTACTAAAAGGGTAAAATTTTTTCAAATTTATTAAAATGGTAAAAATTACAAATTTAAGTAAGTCGTACTTTCTAATACGATACGATTTAAGTTTTTTCTTTTAAAAATAAAAATAAAAGGTCGTATTAGAAACCACCCCTTTTATATAAATTTATATAAAATTCATACGAATTCTAATTTTATATTATAATATTATTATAATTAATAATAATAATAACATGTTTTATATTATTAATATCAAAATAAATAATAATAACAATTTAATATATATAGTTATTATTTATTTTTTATTAATACTATATTATGATTAAAAATAAAATAATAAAAATATTATTAAAATTAACAATATTAAAAATAATATAATTATAATTACTAAAATTAGTTTAATAATATTATCAATAATATAATAAAATAATAATAATACAATTATAATTATATAAAATTAAAATAATATTAATAATAAATAATTATAATTCTTATATATTTAATAAAATCTTATTAATAATTATTTATTATTGATATTATTATAATTATTATTTATAATAATAATAATAAATATATAAATAAGTAATATAATTATAATTATTAAAATATTTATTTTATTTATATAATTATAATTATTAATTTATTTATTATTAATAATAAAATTGAGATAATATTAGTTATTATAATTATATTATTTTTATTTTATTATTAATAATATAATATTATATAATAAAATAAATAATAATTTAAATAAATATATAAATAAAATTATTATCATGATTTTCTAATTTGTTATTAATAATATAAAATGTATTATTATAATCATTATTATAATATAAAATTAAAGATTTTTATATAAGTTGTTGAATATAGAGAAAATAAGATTTGAGATTAATCTCTTTTGTGTATAAACTACATATAGGGTAATTTATTTATAATAGAGAGATACAACTAAAAAGAGTAACTAAAAGATAATTAGAGTAAATAGAAGATATTATTTGATATTATGATTAACAATATCTAATAATATCAAACAATATCTAAACAATATGTAACACTACCTCTCAAATTGGAGCATACAAATTATATGTGTCAAGCTTGTTACAAATATAATTAATTTTAGTCCCCTGGTCTTGATGTCTCCGGACATAATATTTTTTCGAATAAAATGACAGTCTATCTCAATGTGTTTGGTCCTCTCATGAAAGATAGGATTAGAGCTAATATAAAGAACAACCGGATTGTCACACACAAGTGTCATTTGAGTGACATCTCCAAATTGTAATTCGCTAAACAATTGTTTGAGCCAAATAAGTTCACAGGTAGTTGATGTCATAGCTTTATATTATGCTTTTGCACTGGATCTTGTCACAACACTCTGTTTCTTACTTTTTCACGAGATCAAGTTATCACCAATGGAGACACAATACCCATATGTGGATCGCCTATCAGAAGGAGATCATGCCCAATCAACATCTAAGTAGCAAACAATTTTTGTATGGTTATTAGAACTATATAACAATCATATTCCAGGAGATCCTTTAATATGCTTTAATATACGAATGACTACATTTTAATGATCTTCACATAGGGAATTAAGAAACTGACTTATCACACTGACTGCAAAGGAAATGTTAGGACGAGTAACGGTAAGATGATTCAATTTACCAACCAATCTTCTGTACTGTTCATGATCAGATAAAGACTCCCCTTGATTTGGTAGAAGTTTAGTATTAGGATCCATGGGTGTATCAACAGACTTTGAACTCTTCAACCTAGTTTCCTCCAAAATATCCATGACATACTTCCTCTGAGATATAACAATATCATCATTGTACTGTGTCACCTCAATACCCAAGAAATATTTGAGTTTGTTAAGATCTTTGGTCTAAAAATGGTGACAGAGATGTTGTTTCAACTGAGAGATGTCATGGTTGTCACTACCTGTAAGAACGATGTTATCAATATATACTATCAAGTAAACACATCAAATACTTGAGTGTCGATAAAATACAGAATGATCTGTTTCACACCAAGTCATACCAAATTGTTGAACAACATTGTTAAACTTTCCAAACCAGGCCATAGGAGAATGTTTTAGGTCATATATGGATTTGCAAAGACGACATACCATCCCAGAAGACTCTTCCTGAGCAACAAACCCAGGAGGTTGTTTCATATAGATTTCTTCTTGCAAATCACCATTGAGGTCATTGTTGAAGAACAGTCATGACGACAAATAAACGAATAGAAGCCATCTTTATCGTCGAGGAAAATATATCTCCATAATCTAACCCAAAAATTTGAGTATAACCTTTGGCTACAAGACGAGTTTTGAGGCGATCAATAGTACCATCAGGTTCAACTTTGATAGCAAACACCCACCTGCAACCAACAACAAATTTCCTAGACGGTAACGGGACCAATTCCCAAGTTCCACTATTATGAAGAGCACTTAATTCATCTGTCATGGCATGATGCCAACTAGGATGGACTAAAGCTTCACAAACAATTTTTGGAATGATAATAAAAGAAATAGAGGAAAGACATGTATAAAAAGATAATGATAGTCGATGATAACTCAAAGTAATATAACGAGAGAAATTACGTGTAGAACGAATACCTTTTCGAAGGGTAATGGGAAGATCAAACTCATGTGTCAGGGTCGAAGGAAATAAAGTAGTTGACACTTGAGTGGAGTCACATGGTGGTGGTTGTGAATAGTTTCAACGACTATAAACCTAAAGGGGTAGTGGAGAAGAAGCTAACTGCAGAGTAGGAACTAATGGTGAAGAAGACACAATTAAAGGGTCACAAATAACAGGAACATTAAATGTACTGAGAGTGTTGACAAGATTGGATGGAGACAGAGGTGAATATT